TAGAGGGCCTAAAACGGTCCCTTGCGGTACGCCATAATTAATTACTTCAGGATCACTTTCGACACCATCAATTTCTACAGATTGTTCTCTGTCTGTTAAGTAACTTTTTAGTAATGTCAAAACGCGTCCTCTCAGACCATACTTCTCAAGTTTCTCTAACAAGATTCCGTGAGATATCGTGTCAAACTCCTTAGAGAGATCGACAAATATGCATAAACTACGTTTATTAGACTCAACAGCTTCTGATATTTGTGATGTTAGTTTACAAATAGCATCTTGTGTAAATTTTCTTTCTCTAAAACCGTATTGACAATCCGATATTATACTAAACCTATCCAAAAAACTCACTAATCTATTTTTTAAAATTTTTTCAAATATTTTGGAAAAAACAGACAACAAAGATACTGGTCTGTAATTAATCACGTCTTCTTTATTTCCTTTTTTAAACAGAGGTTTGATTTTGCCTATTTGTAGACATTCTGGAAAACAACCATCCTGAAAACATGCATTAATGAGAAAAGTTAAAGGAGTAATAATTTCTTCCTTAATTTGTTTGATGGTTTCTGTCTTAATCCCATCCCAGCCAGGAGATTTTTTGTGTTTTAAAGATTGTATTGCATTTACCACTTCTTTTTGGTCAACGACATACAAGTACATGCTGCTTTCTATCCTATCTATGTCCTCAATCTGTTCATTACAAATGGGTATTTTTTGTGCATACCTTTGTCCCAATATACTGTAATGTGTATTAAATTCATTTGCAATTTCTTTTCTGTCAATTATTTTTTCTCCTGTTTTGGTTTTAATCGATTCAATTTTTGTATTTCCTTTTATTTTTCCACACAATGAATTAATTACATTCCAAAGTGATGAAGAAGAGGTCTTATTTTTTTCAATTCGTTGTTTTGTATAATTTCTTTTTGCAGTTTTAACTAAGTGTCTTAATTTATTTTTATAGTCTGTATATCGTTGTTTTTTAAGTTATTTGAGGGATCTTGGATTAAACAAGTTTTGATCTAAACACCAACAAAATACAAAAAAATCTAAGTGTCCGGTTAATTTTGCACCCCAGTGTATTTATATTATTAGCGTTCAAACAATTACTGAAATTTAACTGATGTTTTTAAAAGATTTTTTTAATATTTTTCAAAACAGACTGGTATGTAGAGGGAGACTTAACAATAGTATTGTTATATTGGACGTCTTCTTGGTCTCTTGATACATCTTGGACACCACAGTGTAATTCTAGTGGACCATCTATTGTCAGTTCTCCTGGCTTAATTTCCGAACTAATTTTGTGGATTACATAAGTGACCTTGGTTGTCTATCTAATCAATTCTATTCTTTTTTGATCTCTCTTTGTTATACCTAGCATACATCGCTCCATTGACCTTTGAATGACTTTGAGTTTCTATATTATCTCTTTCTATAGCGTCCAAGATTCGCAGCCTTATGTAATGATTGGTAATATACACTAATGGAATGCTTTTTTCTTTAGATCAAGTAGCATCTTCGATTTAAATATAACATTTAATATTCAGACATTAGAAATGCATAATTGCATTTCTACTAAGCCAGTTTCATTCTTCTCTTTAATTTCTGGAATTAAGGAGCCAGATTTATATATTAATTAATTGTTCTATTATGTACAGTGTTGTTTATTATTATATCTTGAACATCCGCTAACTGCTTACACATGGTTTTTGTTGTGGTCAAGTCCATTTTTAATTGTTCTATTATGTACAATGTTGTTTATTATTATATCTTGAACATCCGCTAACTGCTTACACATGGTTTTTGTTGTGGTCAAGTCCATTATTAGGTCAACTTCATTGGTTGCATTGCTAACAAGATATTCACAAAGATTATCAACAACAGATTAACAAATGCATTAGATGCTGTACAATCAAGGGAGCAAGCTGGCTTCAGAACTCGATTCAATATCCTGGACCATTCGCTCCACAAACTAATGGGAAAAGCTAAAGAATATAAAATACCGATAAACCTTCATAGATTTCGAAAAGGCTTTTGATTCTATATATTCCAAGACAGTAATAAAAACTTTGACCAACCAAGGTATTCATAAATATATACAGACAAGCAAAAGCCAAGCATAAAAATTTATGAAAGCTCTCCAGAATTTCCCACTATGTGAAGCTTCCTATCGCAATATCTATCTACTGCAACTCTAAAAAATATATTTAGCAAAATAATCTGGCAAAACAAAGGCTTATCCATTAAAGGAGAATACCTTAGTCACCTAAGTTGTGCAGACGACATCATATATAGGAAGCCATTCTTATTATCGTCTTCTTCTTCTTCGTGTGAAGAGAATTACTCCTGTTTGTCTGCCTTGTATTCTGTTTCAGTCGTTGTTGACTGTACATTATCTTTCCACCTTTTTGGCGGTCTTACAACGGGTCTTCTGCTATACGGCTTGTTGTTTTTACAGATGTTCGCTAATCTATCTGGTCCCATTCGGTTTACATGTTCGTTCCAGTTTTTTTTCTTGTTTTTATCCACCTGTTATGCTGTTATGCTACATATAATCAATGAGAGACTGAAAACATTCCTCCAAAGAGAAATTCCACAAGAGCAAAGTAGATTTACCAAAGGTAGAGGCACTCGAGAACACCTGCTGAATATAAGACAGATAATCGAGAAATCTAGGGAATTCAACATCCCACTATACATCTGTTTTATAGATTACCGTAAAACGTTCGACAGGGTCAAGTGGAGACACTTATGGCGAATACTAAAAGAAGTAGGCGTACCACAACATCTAATTACGCTTATAACTGAACTAAATGAACACACTACTAGATCAGTTAAAGTACTTGACACACTTTCGAACGAGTTTCATCCAGAACGGGGTGTCAGACAAGGATGTATACTATCTCCACAATTATTCACCATATATGGGGAGTATATTATGCGAAGAGCACTTGAAGGATGGGAAAAGGGCATCTCAATAAATGATTATAAACTAAACAACCTACGTTTCGCAGATGACACAGCCCTTCTTGCAAATAGTCAAGCAGAGCTGATGGAACTTATACGACTGATCAAAAACGAAAGTCAAATATTTGGTCTGCAATTAAACATATCAAAGACAAAGATCATGATAGTGGATATACTACACAACAATCATCCACACATAACCACAATTGACCGGTTCGAGGTTGTGAGCTCATACTTATATCTGGGATCATTATTCACAAACACAGGGTCATTACAAGAAGAGAATAAACGTAGATGTGATCTAGCAAAAGTTGCCACAGTAAAAATGACCAAAATATGAAAGGACTGTCAAATTTTAAGAGCAATAAAGATGAGGTTGATCAACTGCTTAATATTCCCAATAGTGACCTACGGATGTGAATCTTGGACTCTGAGACAATTGGAGAGAAAAAAGATAGACGTCACTGAAATGTTCTGTTGGAGACGAATGTTACGAATTCCTTGGACCGACCGTAGAACAAATAATTCAATTTTAAGAGAGCTAAAAGTTAGCCAACGACTCTCTAATAAAGTCCATCTCCAACAATTAAAATATTTTGGGCATGTTATGAGAGCAAACACAGAAAACATGGAAAGACTCATAATACAAGGAAAGGTAGAAGGCCGAAGATCACGAGGAAGATCCCCAACAAGATGGATAGATCAAATTACAGGAATATGCCAAAGACCTATGCATGAATTAAAAGAAATGATCAGAGACAGAGATCTCTGGAGACGGACAATACACGACATCACGTCGACCACTACACTCCCCCTGGGAAGTCAGGATTGAAGAGAGAGAGATCCACTTGTTAATATTTTGAATTTTGCATTGTTCGCGTATTCTTCTGTTGGTTTGTCTGTCTCTTAAGGATGTACCCGCCATTAATCTTAATACTTTCATTTTGATTTTGTTGATTTGTTGTTTTGTCTTTCTTGTATCGGTCCTTGTCTCCGCTGCATATGTTATAATTGGTCTTACTGTTGTCTTGTATACTTTAATTTTGCTTTCCGTGGTCAGATATTTGTTTCTCCATATGGTTTCTCGGAAGTAACCACTTACTCTTGCCGCTTTTGATGCTTGCCTTGTGGTCTCTCTTCTTATATCTCTGTTACTACTGATCTCTAATTCAATCACCTCCTAGGTGATTGAATTTTATTACTAGCTCTACAATTTTACCAACTATTTTTAGTTTGCATTTACGGGGCTCTTTCCTTTCTTTCCTTTCCGACTCCTTCCGTGTTATTGAACCCCGGGTGACTTGGTATACTTGAGTATCTCCCAAAAATGTTCAAACACATCTTAACGTCGACATTAGTACAGCTTTCAATAATAAGTATTGGCTGGGTAATTTTTGTTCTGCATTCTCTTCGTATGTAAATTTCCTGACCTTTGTACTTGTCGATCCTTTCACTGTATTTAACGCGCATATTATTGTTGTTAGGTATCGGTCATCGAGCAAAAAGACAAAAGAGGGAATGTAAAGGTAGTGGGGGCAAAAATATTGTTAGACAAGAAGTGCGATCTTTAGAGGCCACATTAAACAAGGAAAGAGAGTCTCTCTCTCCTTGTTTGACATCAAATTTAGTTGGGTTATGTTATTGTTGGTCCCAAATGTCACATGAAATCTTATTTATATTGAAGTTTTTTAACAATTGTGTCGCATTTTAGACTATTATCGTTAATAATTAATTAAAAACTTTCTCGTCTAAGACACATTCTGAAAAATATTATATAGCTACTGTTAATAAGTGTCGGAAAATTTAAATTTGGCGCATTCGCATTTCCGGATATGTCCGCTATCAGAGGCCACATTTTTGGTCTCCCTTTCATAAGCATTAGATTCCCTCTTTTGTCTTTTTGCTCGATGGTATCGGTAGATTATTTAGTATTATCTGGATTTAGTTATACGGCTTACTTAAATTAACTAATTATAAAAAATGCTGTATGTAGCACAGTTTGTTTGTATTAATATATTACGGAGATATTTTCCTTTTAGTTTACTAATGAAAAGGGATACGATATGAGACGAAACTTAGAGATTGATTACGACGCTAAAGGAAAATACTCCACAACGTTGTTCACTAACGAAGCTGTAAATTTAATTAAGAATCACGATACGAACAATCCAATGTTTTTATATATGACACATCTTGCACCTCACACTGGAAATGCAGATGACCCACTTCAAGCTCCAGATGAAGAAATTGCTAAATTTGCCCATATTCAAGATCCAGAGAGACGAATCTATGCAGGTATTCCATAAAATAGCCTATACTGTGGTATAAAAACCTTATATTTTTATTATTTAAATAGTTTTACATTTAAATGTATCGAACACACTATTTTTGATATTACTACTACTACTAAGGATTTCCACAGTTTTCACTGTCTTCCTTCACTCAACCGTTTTCTCCAATTTTCCCTGTCATTCCAGTATCCATCTCGCAGGGTTCTTTTCTCCATAGCCTCATTGATTTCGTCTTTGAATGACCTTCGGGGTCTTCCTCTCTTTCTTCTTCCGATCGGGCTCCATTCTGTGATTTTATTTATCCAGCGTCCTCTGTCCGCTCTTCTGACGTGGCCGTACCAGGATAGTCTCTTCTCCTCTATATAGTCGATTATGTCTGATTGCACTCCCATTCTCCGCTTAATCTCTGCGTTTTCAATTCTGTCTCTTTTTGTAAGTCTACAGCTTCTCCTCGGGAACTCCATTTCTACTGCTCTTATTATACCTCTATTTCTCTTGTTCATTGTCCAGTTTTCGGACCCATATGTCAGGATACTTCTTGTCAGGGTATTATATATTCTCATTTTTGTCTTTATCGTAATGTTCTTATTCCACAGCACTAAATTTAGTTGTCTTATACAGTTTCTTGTTTGTCTTAGTCTGTTATTTATATCTTGTCTTCCCTCGTCTATCTCTAGGTTTCTCATATCCTTGTTTTCTGTTGTTAGGTATTCGGTTTTTTCTAAGTTTATTTCCATTCCGTTGTTTTTATATTCTTCTTCTAGTTTTCTGGGCATAAAGATGAGATCTTCTTCATCTTGTGCGATGACTACTTGATCGTCGGCAAAATTTAAGGTGTATAAGGTATTCGTCTATTACTGGTATGCCGATTCCTTCGCACTTTCTCCTCCATGGTTTGAGTGTCTTTTCCAAGAATATGTTAAACATAGTAGGGGACGTAGCACAGGCTTGTAGAAGTCCTTTTGTCGTCTTAAATGGATTGTAGGCTTTATTTCCACATTTAATAGCTACTTTGTTTTCTTTGTACAGTGCTTTAACGGCTTTTATTAGTGTTTGTCGGATTCCGAGATCATTCATTGCTTCCCATAATTTGACTCTAGGTATTGAGTCGTATGCTTTCTTTAGATCAACAAACGCCAGATGGACCGGTCTACCTTTTGCCATTTTCTTCTCTATCAGTTGTTTTAATGTGTACGTATGATCTAGGCATGATTTTCCTACTTTGAACCCTGCTTTGTCTTCTCCAATTTTTCTTATTATTTCAGTTTCTAGTTTTTTCCTTGATAATTTTCCCGTAAAGTCTACCTACCGACGATATTATACTAACTCCTCTGTAGTTTTCACATTTTTTCCTGTTTCCTTTCTTATGTATGGATGTGATGTATGCTTGTGTCCATTCCGCAGGTATTTCCTCTCCATTTAGTCCTCTTTCGAACATTCTGTGTAGCATGCGAAATAACTTTTCCGTTCCGTTTTTAATTAGTTCGTTTGGTATCCCTCTGAGTCCTTTATCTTTTTTGTTCTTCAATGTCTTGATTGCTTTCTTGACTTCTGTCAGACTTATTTCTATCTGTTCGTATGTCCCATTTCCTGCATGTTCTGTGTTCTGTATTCTCTTCCTGAAATTGGGGACGGTTTTCTGTAAGTAGATTTTTGATATTGACCTTGTTCTTGTTCTTGCGTTTTCGCAAGACCAAGACCAAGACTGACCGAGCAAGATTTAAGCAAGAATAAGACTAAGCCACCGAGACTTTTGCGTCTTGCAGTTAAAAATAAGTAAAAAAATACTTAAAATTTGTAATATAACAAAAGTTAGGATTTTTTACACAAAATAATATTTTATAACAAATTTTACATATCTTCGACAGTTTTGTAGTTATTTTGAAATCGAGTCCTCGAGTAAAATCTTAGAACATCGACCTTGTGTCATTTTAATTTACCAATTGGCTATGATTGTCATCAAATCACCAAAGAATTTCATTTTGGTAGCCAGTTTCAATTACTTTAAAATTTCACTGATGATTTTTACTTTGTAAAAATTAAATTTTTTATTTTTGTACAGTTGCGAAAATTAGTAATATTTTTTCCAGTCCATGTTACATAATTTTGTCTTAAATATGTTTTTTTCTTCGACAGCGATGGTATCCATGCTAGACCAAAGTGTCGGAACAGTAATCAGTGCCCTTAGGGATAAAAAGATGTTAGATAATTCCGTAATTCTATTTATTTCCGATAATGGGGCTCAACCTAATGGACTTCATGCTAATCATGGTTCAAATTATCCATTTAGAGGAGTATGTATATATCATCATTTATCATTTATCATTTTATACATAATAGTACTATAGTCAATTTGGAAATGCGGTATAGTTTTAATAGCAGAAATTATAGTGATATTTATATAGGACTGTTCAAAGGCAAAAAATTATATGAACATCGGAAAAAAACATCTGCACCTTTGTCTCAATTTTGTACAAGAATTTATAAAAATAATATAACCGTTCTTACAAATTTCGAATATAACATAAAATACAAAGGAGCAAGCCTTAAAAGTTTAATCAACAAATTGAACGCCTAATATTTTTTTGACTGTCGACAAGTAAACATTGTATCGATTGCTAACGAATTAAGCCAGAATTGTTGTAATTTTTACATAATTATATGTAGATGAACAAGTTTTTGTTTTTATTGCTTTAAAATAGACTTTAATGTTCTTGTCTAGACAACTTTGCACATAATCTTAATCTAGGAATTCAGAAATGTTTATATTTATCGGTGAATTTAAAACGAGAATTTACTTTAATAAAGTAAAGAACTTGTTTGTAATTTACTTTGACATTTCGGACTGCTATAATACAAGTTATTGTGTTTTTTATTTTTTGTTAAAAATTCTGTTTAACAATAAAATATCGGAAAATATTTAATCACCTATCCAATTCACGTCAGACATTGTAGCTACTCTTAGACAAGGAAAGCGATGGGACGCGTAATCATATGGAATTGACTGAAGCCAAACCGGCACCAAAAGGTTACCAGGTCATATTTTATTTCTTCAGATTTAGAAGATAGATTGATTAATAATATTGCATTTATCAATAAATAGATTTTTTTCCAAATTTATAATTGAACACTGACATAATGATCATTTTTGAATATGATTTTATCATTATATATTTTTTAGTAGATCAAAATAGTGTTTCAGTAAATTGAAGTTGAAGTTAGTAGAAAAATCAGTAGATCTGGTAACTCTAATAGAGAGGTAGTAATGGGCAATGTACAGGCGGCAAAACATGGCGGTCACATCAAAACAGGCTTTCTCTTTTCGAAAGTTTATTAAATGAGCGTTCCCTGTCCTCTCTCTTACTTTGTCTTGGCGGTAAATAATAATCTTCTTCTTCTTTAGTTTATTGTACTCCACCTACTTGGGTTTTTGGCCAGCTCATTGTCCCGGAATAAAGGAAAAATTCCCTATTCACCTAGAATTTGGAGTTGGTATTCGAATGACCACATTCGGTATAAGCCTCATAAGTCATCTCCTAAAATTGTTCCTAAAGATAATTTATAAGAGAATCTATAAGCTGTGTGAAAGTAAAATTTCCCCCAACCAGTTTCCCCCCAACTAATGCTGTTGGTACTAGAGAGGCTTTGTTCTCAGTACAAGTCTTATTCCAGAGATGCAGATACGTCAACTGTGACATATACGCATGTCTGGTTGATTACGAGAAAGCGTTTGATCGAGTACAGCACGCCAAGATGATGCACATACTAAAAGAAGCAGAAATTAATAACCAAGATCTGAAAATAATTAGAAATCTTTACTGGAATTAGACAGCAAATCTCAGAGTTGAAGATGAACATACTGACTATTTGAAAATCATGCGTGAAGTAAGGCAAGGCTGTATTTTGTCTCCTCTAATCTTCAATCTATACTCTGAAAGAATATATATCGGAGCTTTGCCCGAAACTTCCTCTTCTTTTTCTTGTAGCACTACAATCGGGGATGGGTCTTGGCTGACTGCACAACTTGATTTTATCTTGAACAATCGTCCATAATTGTTGGGTCAGTGGGTAGCTCCATTGTTCTTATATCTGACCATATATTGTCTCTCCATCGCATTCGTGGACGTCCTAAGGGCCTTCTTCCTGTCTTCCTCCCACATTAACTTGGCAAGTCGGTTATTAGGGAGTCTATGGACATAGCCAGCCCATCTTAGACGTTGGGATTTAATCTCTTGTACTATGTCGCTCGCTCTATACATCTGCTTAACCTCAGCATTTGCTCTCATTCGGAATTGGTTGCTATTAATGTTGTGATAAGGCTTAAAGATTCTTCTGAGGATTTTTCTCCCAAAACATCTAAGTTTTGTTTCAGTTTCTTTGGTCAGGGTGCACGGGTCACACCTATACATGAGCACCGGTCTAATCACCGTTTTATATATTCTAATCTTTGATATTCGTGTAAGGCTTTTAGATTTATTAGTATTGTGTAGTCTGTACATACATCTGATTGCTGCCTGAAGTCTTCCTTTAATCTTTTCCGCGATATCGTTATCTGCAGTGATTGTAACTCCGAGATATTTAAAAGTCTCCACTCTTTCAAAGTTATATGGGTCTATTCCAACATTTTGCCCTATTCTATCTCATCCCTTTTGTCTGTTGATGCACATGTATTTGGTTTTCTCTTCGTTTACCCTTAGACTAGTGTTCTTTGCCTCTACCTCCAATTTATTAAAAGTCTCCTTCACATTGGTGACTGTGTTTCCCATAATGTCAATGTCATCAGCGTATGCTAGTAGTAATTATGGTCCGTTTACTGTCAGTAATTCTGTTTTAAGTTATGCTGCTCTTACTACTTTCTCCAGGATGATATTAAAAGCAATAGGTGACAGTGCATCTCCTTGTTTCAGGCCACTGCTTAATTTGAAAGATTCTGAGAGTTTGTTACCTATCCGTATTCTGGATCTACAGCTATTTACACATAACTTAACAAGATGGATAAGTTTTTTTGGAACTGAAAGTTCTGCCATTGCATTCCACATTTGATCACTTTTAATGCTATCGTACGCTTGCCGGAAATCTATGAAGAGATTATGGATAGTTCTATTGAATGCTTATCTTTATTCAAGCAGCTGTCTTAGAGTAAAGATCTGATCTATGATCGATCTATATTTTCTGAAGCCGGCTTGGTATTCCCCCATGAAATTTTCTACAAACGGTGTCAGCCTACTTAATAGGATGTTCGATAAGATTTTATATGCCTTTTTATGGATGGGGATTATTACATTTTCGTGCCATTTTGTTAGTATTTTCTCTTCGTTCCATATAAGTGTTATTAGTTTCTTATATACCTATGTAGAGTTTCTCCTCTATACTTAAGGAATTCAGCTAGTATATTGTTAGAGCCTGGAGCTTTTTCTTTCTTTAATTTGTTAATTGCTTGCAATGTTTAATCCAATTTGGGGTCCTCTACAGGTAGGTCCACCCCAAAATATACATTTCTGCACGAAACTGAAAAAGGTATTCTGCTAAATGGTTACCGGCTAAACAACATAAGATATGCAGATGTACAATAGTATTTCCCGACAACTTAGAAGACCTACAAGTTCTTATGAACAAAATCACGTTCACCACTATTACAGTCAGCAATATGAACTCAATATAAACGTTAAGAAGACAAAGTTTATGATGATTAGCAAGCAAGGGATAAGAGAATGTCCACTCTACGTCAACCAATCCCATGTAGAAAGTGTAAGATACTACAACTATCTCGGCACCATAATAAATTAATAATGAACCAACAACCAGGAGATTAGAGCACCCATCGGAAAAGCTAGATCTACCTTTAATCGGATGGGGGCCTTCTTCAAGAGTCACAACCTCTCTCTTGATACAAAAGTAAGAATGCTGCGATGTCTTTTCTCCTTTTTTATGGTGTTGAATCTTGGACCTTGGACGAATATATGTGCAGAAAACTGGAAGCATTTAAGATGTGACTATATCGGAGAATACTTAAGATCTTGTGGACTGACCGAGTCACAAATGAGGAGGTCCTCAGAAGAATGAATGAGAAACGAGAGGTACTGACCACCATCAAATCTTGAAAGTTACAATTCTTCGGTTATATTACGCGTAATGAATTCAGATATGCTCTCCTTCAAGCCATCCTGCAAGGAAAAATATTTAGAAAACTAGGCCTGGAAGAAGAAGAACATCTTGGTTAAAGAACTTCAGAATCTGGGTCAATATTACATCTGTGGAGCTTTTCCGTGCTGCTGCAAATAAGATAAAGATTGCCATGATGATCGCCAACATTCGTAACGGATAGGCACATCAAGAAGAAGAAGGATTCGAATGACATGACATTTTGACAGTATGTTTTTGAAAGTTAGAACTATTGAAATGTTAAATGAAAAATTTATTACAGTCGCCATCTCATGGTTATCCCAGGTGATTTGTGGTTATGCCCGATAGGTAGTTTGATTTTTAAAATGAATTGGGCGATATAAAGAATTTTATAATTTTTGGATTTTTTTTTTTATGAAGCTGTTTGGTTACTAGATTGTTTGCCTCGAGATTAACTTGTCTTAAAATAAAAACTTGTTTCCCATTTAGGTTTGCCTTAATTTTTTGTAAGACTTTCTTGAAATCGCATTATATAATAATGTACGTTTTATTTTATAATAATGATGAACTCTTTTGTATCGCGATTGTATCAATGATATTTGTAATTGTAACACGTCCCTTTTCATAACAGAATCAAAGCAAATACCTTTCAAATTTTAACCAAATCCAGCTCAAACGCCTTCGATAATTAATATTCTACGCGGTTTTCTTATATATAGGCAGATCTAATTCGTGCAATATGGAAAGTACATTAGACGAATTTATATGCCGTTCCATCTGATGCGTAACCTTTTTAGGGACTAAAGAAAACATTGAGCTGGAAAGGGTACATTTTAAAGTTCGTAACAACCTGAAGGAATCCATGCATATCACGGTTCGAATTACCCGTTTCAAGGGGTAAGTTCGTTTTATGTAGCGGTCGTAAAATGTTTTTTCTTCTGTATGCATATAAATTAGACGATTTTCTTTCCTATACGACTTGTAGGGAAATAAAAATGTCGGAAGGAATAATATACTTGTTTGAAGAGGTATCTTTATCTCATAAGACTTAAATAGAAAATATATGTTTTTTAGGTCAAAAGTTTATATAGTGCACAAGAGGTTTATCAAAAATCTTATGAAAAAATCTTCAGAACTATAAAACTCGTATATTATTTTCAATTTTAGTGTCATTCTAGAAAAAACTATTTTGAATCCGAACAAATTTCTTGACTAACGACATAACTCAGGCAATAGTCCCACATCTGGATACATGGAATTTGAAAACCTATTCTATTTTTTAAAAAATATTCGCTGAACACGAAGATGTAGATCCCCTATCTTAAATAAATTTTAAAATTTGATAATTTTAATTTACAACTAATCCCGTAAAGCACGACTAAACATACATTACAATTAATACTATTCCAATAATCGTTTGAAGCATGTCTAATGTCGACGACGTACTAGCCCGCCGTGTGCTTCTGATTCTGCAAGAGCGAGAAGCTATTTGTTTATTACTTGTTAACTCAATAAAAAAGAAAGTTTCTTCCATTTTTTTCAATAGAAAATTGTCAAAAGAGGGTCAAACTTTCTATTTACGTGCAGATTTTAGAGAAATATGAAGCATATAAAAAGTTATGAAGACTCAAATTTAGGCATAATCTTCGATTACTTGACTTAAAATTTGTAATAACTTTTAAACTTTAAATTTAACATATATAGGATTTTTAATGTATTTTTAGCCCCAATGTACGATGTAACTAGTTGTAAATTAAAATATTTAAATTTAAAAATTTATTTTTAAAAAAATTGTTTATAGGAATTGATACCACTTTTTGAGATGAGAGACCTACATATTCGTATTTAGAGAAAAATTTTACATAAGATAGAATAGTTTTAACTATCCACCCTTCCATACATACAGAAAGGTATCAGCTGCCCGATTACAAACAGTGAATGACAGTGAAAAAAAATAACTCGTCTACTTTGTAAATCTATCGCTAAAATATTTGTATGTATTTTTTATTTTTTAGACGAAAGAAACAGCTTTCGAAGGAGGCCATCGAAATATAGCGGCTATATGGAGTCCCCTGATTAAAAAACCACAACGCGTTTCCAACCGTTTAATGCATATTTCTGACTGGCTGCCAACATTTTACTCCATAGCAGGTTTGTATATAAATTTAAAATTTCTACAGAATTCTTAGGGAGCTGTTATACGAGCACTAATGCCGTCGCGTTGATAACGCGGAAAATAGTGCAAAATTTCCAAGTTATACGTGACTGTAATTGCGTCGCGTTGATATCATTTATTCGCATTGTCAGCGATACGTATAACTTAATGCGTGCTGTGGGCAACTGTATGCTACTAACGAGACTGGCTGCGCAGTAACGCTTGCCGTCGGAATAACGCGGGCTCGTCGCATCTTGCTTTGCGTATTTCTGAGACTTCTCATACCACAATTTATGTCCAGTGGTGTGAGGCTTCTCAATGACAACGCTCGACCTCATGTCTTACATAAAACTTGAACAACTGCTAAGAGATTTTGGCTGGGGGCTTTTGTACCCCACCCTCCCTCAGTCCGGACCTAACAGCAAGTGATTGTCACTTTATTAACAAAATAACAAGAACACTTTGGGTCTCTTACGCTTTAGTAGATACCGATGATGAAGTCCAAAAAAGGTTACTTGATTTCTCAAACGATTGACGGTAAAATTGTATAACATGGGGATATACAAAAAGTTGGAGCATCGTCTTCAAAATTGTTTAGATAAAAATGGCGATTATGTAGAATAATAGAGTAAGTTTTAAGTTTTAAAATGATGTATAATATTAAGAACAAAAATAAAGCTATCTGTTTTTAAAATTCATTGGAACCTATTTTACGAATGGCCTCCTACTTGTCATAAATTTAATACTGGCGCAGATCGTTCATATTTTTAATATTTTTCTTGTCCGCCAAACTCAAAGAACTAAATATTAGTTTTAATTTATATACTCTCATTGTCATTTTTTAATACTTCAACTTAGCTTAATTGACACTAAATAATTTTGTAGTACGTATCTAAGAATAATATTTAATCAATAGAAGTTTTATGTCTCGATTGAATTCTAAACGTCCATACAATCTGCTAAGCTTTATGTCTGTCGATATGTTTCCTAAAGATTCTAACTTTTTTTGTTTAGTAAGTAAGTAGTTTTGCATGTTGTTTCCATGGTAATTGCTTTTCTTGTAACGGGCGTTATGAAATTAGCACCGAATGTAATTCGGAAAATTAAACGAATGTAGTTATTGTAAAATTTAGGTAAGTTAGGTAATGGTATATTACTTTATGAGGCGAAGAAGCATGACTTTTCTTGACGCGCCCGATATTACGCGCCGAACGAAGTGAGGCGCGTAATAGAGGGCAAGTCAAGAAAAGTCGCTTCTTTGCCGAATAAAGTATACTATTTTTTCTTCAAACGTAGCAAATTTTCAACCATAAATAGTACAATTCATATGCTATTTTTATTCGAAATTAACTGTGATAACTATCAAAGTTGTCTAGATGTTAGAAATTAAAATAATTAAGTCGTCGGTGGGATTTGCGTCTCCCTGATTACAGTTGTTTGACAATTGTTTGCAATTAATAAAGACAGCTTATTGTTGTTGCAACCGCAAGCGCAAATTTAGTGCGAAAATGGAAAACCTAAACGAATTTGAGTCCGCGGCTAATGATGCAGTAGCACGTTTGGGGCCCTCCAAATCCGATAAGAACGATAATGCTCAAAACATTTTAAACCCTCATAATTCGCCAACATCGGAAATGATTGCTGAAAGTTGTTCTCGACCATCAGTATCATCAACAATTAGCAATGCGTGTCAAGAGTCGGGAACATTATTGCACGGTCTCAATTTTGAAAATGCCTCATTAACTAATTGTACTTTTATTATTACTATAAATAAAAATGATGTTTAATTGTTATTAATGACATTTGTATTGTTGCTTTGTGACATGTTTCTTATTGTTGCCATGATCACATTTTTTCCCTCTGCCGCGCCGTAAAGAAATGAGAAAAAAAAAACTGCTGCCGGCGGAGACATCAAACTTTGACAGGATCAAGTTAGATAAGTAATGTCATCTTTATTTGACGTTTGAAGAAACAATATTTTAATTGAATAAAGTTTCACCAGAAAAGTGAATTTTGTTATTTTGTATCATAAAAATCAGACGTTTATTTAAAGATATTTCGGCCAACTCCGCTAAATTTTTACCTTAGCACCGCTAATCGATTTCTTTGGTAATTGTTTAGTTTAATTAAACTTGTAATTGTAATAAAATTGTGTTTTACTTCGAAGTAAATCTTGCTAAATGGCTTTTTCTGTATCAACAAAACTTTTCTAACTACAACTATGGTCCAGTAGTCAGGGACTTAACCTCTGAAAATTATACGAACAAGCTAAATTTTGTTGAGAATATCAATTTTGGATATTTAAAAAATATAAAAAAAGTTTAACATTTTTACCCAAAGTCTTCACCCTAAAACCCTCCCCTAAGGGGGAGGAAGGGAGGAAGGAAATGGAAAAAATCGATTTACTATGCATCTTAATGCTGTAGAAACAATATTTCAATTAAAAAATATAGCTGAGATAATTTTGAACATGAAATGAAATCGTAGGAAGATATAGGGTCCAAATAACCAATGACAACGGAATGCTTCTTAGAGATTTTTGTGATACAATGTGTCTCAAAATTATGAATGGATTTTTTCAACATAGAGACATCCACAAATTTACATGGATACAACCTACTAGAATTTTGCGCTCGATAATCGACTATGTAATCCAACGTCAAACTTCCCAGCTGAAAACAATTGACGTAAGGGTATACCGTGGATCAGAATGTGTTAGTTAACTATCGCAAAAACAAATAAAACTCAGGTACAGAATATAGAGAGAAGGTACAGAATATACAGAAAGGAGAAGAATAAACTAGAATAATAAATAAAGAATAAACCTAAATATAAACTAGAAAGCTTAAAAGAAGATTAAACGAAATTTCTTTACAAATTACGACTGGCCACAAAATTACAAAATGTGGATTGAGAAAATATATCAGCGAAAGAATTATACCAGCAACTTAAAAAATGCATTCATGAGGCTGCAAGTGAAACTTTGGGTTATAAAGACAAACATAAACCAAAAAATCAAGAAAGGTGGTCTGATAATATGCAAACGTTAGTAAAGATGAAGAAAAACTGCTTATCAGAAATGGAGATGTAAAAAGAGAAGTAGTGAAAAGTAAAAATAAGATGTGAGATCGAACATGTAAAGAGGTGGATATGTATATGGGTAGAACAAGCATGGAAGGTGATAAAGTCTCTCCGGATGAAAGGAAAGGAAAAATGTAACTTACAGTTAATAGATCTGAAACAGTGAAAACACAATTATGAGGTCTTACTGACAGAGGATAGATGTATATTCCAAGAGATTGAAATAGAAAAAATATCCGAATATACACAAATAATTGAGATAACAACCGGAGAGTTAAGAAATGCCCTTAAAAGATCGAAAAGTATCGGTAAAGCAGCAGAACCTGGAGACATCCCAATTGAGTTGGTAAAGTATGGACCAAAAATATTAAATGATATGTTGGTTCAACTATTTAACAAATATTTAAAAGGACAAAATATCCCTGATGATTGGAATGTTGGATACATCAGCTCAATATTCAAGAAAGGGCATAAACGCAAATGCTCTAATTATAGGGGAATAACTGTTATCAGTTCAGTGGGGAGGTTGTACGGTCGAATAATAAAAGAAAGAATAGAATCGGAATACAAAAACATAGAAGAACAAAATGGATTTCGTGCAGGAAGATCAAGGAATCTAGCTACCCACCTATTGTTTGTAGATTTATAGAAAGCATACGATACGGTACCTTTGGAAAAACTGTTTCAAACGCTGACGAAAGTAGGTCTCAGTAGAGAGTATGTGGATGCTATCGCAAATATACACAAAAATGCAAAAAGTGTGGAAGAAGGAAACTTTGTATCTGAATCATTTGCAAGAACAAGGGGGCTTAAGCAAAGTATGTTGTCTATCTCCGACATTATTTAAAATATATATTCAATCATCGCTAGAGCAGTAGAGGAAACAAATATCCGGAATGGGAATAGACATAGGCGGTAATAAATGTCTAACAACTTTATTTTTCCTAGATGATGAGGTAGTCGTAGCGAATGAGGAGGATGAACTACGTGTTTAGAAAACTAAAGAAAGAATATGAAAAATGATCCTCAATATGAATATATCAAAGACAGAGTATCTTAAAATAGGAGATGATGAAGAAGATCTAGAGTTAGAAACTAAAAACAAAAACATGCAATGAATATAAATGAGGTCTTAAGATATTAGGCAAGAAACGAAATTGACAATATATCAAATCTTGGTAGATCCTATTATGACTTATGAGGTAGTAGTTTGGCAGATAACGAAAAAAGATAGAAAAATAATAGAAGTAGTAGAAATGGATTCTGTAAAGAGAGCATGTGGTGTATTAAAAAAAGATCATATCAGGAATAAAGATATTAGAAGGAGGACAAATACTGTATATTCCAGTGTAGACAGAATTGAAACGAGACAACTAGTGTGGTATGGTCACGTGAAGCTAATGAATGAAGATAGGTGACCAAAGAAAGCTTTACATTACATACCACAACAAAAAAGAAGGGGAAGACGTTCAGTTGCCTGGGAAGAAAATGTACGGCACATAATGAGAGATACAGTCATCAAAAAAACAAATGAATGGACAGAAAACGATGGCGGTCGAAATGCGAGAAGCGGCAAAGGCTGTAGGAACATATTGATAATTATTAAGGTTAGTTGTTATTAGAGTGAATGTTAGCTATTTGAATATTTATAAATTTTGCGATGATTTTTAATTTCATTTACGCGGGCGAAATCAGTTTTAAATCAAACTTTATCAACTCAACGGTAAATATTCAAAAACTTTTGATGAGAGTGTCCTGTCGACAAAAATTAAAATGCATTTTAAAGGTGAACAGTGCAGCTTTCTTATAAAGTTTTTTGTATTTTACCGCAAATGAAGTCAATTTTTATAATCTGTTAAATAAATAAACGTTTTACGATTCTCTTATGGGATCAATAAAATTTATGACTTCCATTGACCGGTCGCTATAAAATTTTCATTGCTGGAGCCTAAGCCGGGAGATTAAAGTGGCAAATTGTTTTACATCTTTTGTAGTCCCAAAATTGACATTTTCACCAAAAATCAGCTTGTTTTTATGATTTTTAGACGTTCAGTCTCTGACGTAGTACTCCTGAAGTACTATACTTAATCTGATACAAATATTCTTGATGCATAAATTATATATTGATAAAGAAATTTTACTTACTAATTTTAGGGCTAAATAAGACCAATATACCCAAACATTTAGATGGAATGGATATGTGGGAATCAATATCTGAAGACAAAGAAAATCCTAGAACAGAGTTTGTCTATAACATCGATGACATAGACAGATATGGAGCCATTAGACAAGGTGACTGGAAATACATGTATGGTACTGTAGTTAAAGGAAAACGTGATAAATGGTTTGGAGATAATGGTAAAAGAGACGAGTATTTTTACGACATTACTCAAGTTTTGTCGTCAAAAGCCGCTACTTCATTTACAGGTATACTTAAGTTAGCTTTTTGATTTGCCTTTCATTGAGCATTCGTTGGTTATATTTATGAGGTTAAAAATATTATGTAGTTCTTTTATTTCTTAGATATTCCTAATTTGTGGCTTAAGGTGACATCAATTAAAAAAAGACATGTTTTCCGAAGCAGACGTTGTTCACCAACAAGATGACCTAATAAAATAAAACTCATCAGTAAAAACTGGATGCAAGCTAGCCAATGCAGAAAAATATAGAAAAAGTTACGGGAGACCTAGCATCTAGATCCAGTAGTGGACATATAAGAAGATAATGAATCAAAAAAAAACTAAAATAAGAAGGTTTAAACATAGGAAATTATTAATTTCTTATTCTTGATAGTACGGTATGTAATTGTGATAGGGTTTACGCAAAAAAGAGCTTAAGGCATTTCAGGTGCCATGTGACTCAAGAAAAGTCAATTTTTTCGTGATAATCTAACTTGAGAAGATCCCTTGACTCAGTGCTGCATGGATGGCTTGTAGATGTATTAAAAATATATAAAGTCAATGATAATTTTAAGACGTATAATGACAGATTTCAAGACTAAAATTCACCTTCAAATACTTGGTAATAACAATATCGAAACGGAAAATATCGCAATTAACCGCGGCCTATTCAAATGAGACTGAGCATCTAGCCGAATGCGCAAGGGATCTTACCCGATTACTAAACTATCAACATCAACATTTCATCACATTTTGTGGTTAAATCGTTTTTATAAATAATGGAAAGCAGTAGAAAACGTCTTCGCTTCAGCAGTGAAAATGATTTGTTTTTGTTGAAGGAAGTCGTAGGCCAGAATCCTTACGATTATTCAGAAAGATGGAATTTAATCCAAAAGTGAAAAAGATTTTTACATTGTATATCAGACATGGTATAAATTAAAGCGGTTGTATGTTCGTGCAAGATGTGGAGAAGAAGCGCCTTAACTCTCAATTTAACGTTTATCTTCTTTGAAACGTTAGTTCTTTACGTATAGGAACATACGTTACGTTAGGTAGTTACAAAAACTCCCTACTGACGAAATACAGATAGGTTACAGTCGTTTGTCGTTTGTTTTGCAGTCTTGGGCTGCAAAACGACCTTAATAAAATAGCATTGAGAGCGGACATGGAGAGACCACAATCGGTCTCGCCTATCTGTTCTGTCTCATTTGATGACAGTAGAAGAAAGTCGTCCAGCTAGAAAAAATTTCATATTTTGGTATGCCCAAAATATATTGTTCATCGATTATTTCAGAAAGGCAAAACCATCGATAGCAAGTATTAAATTAACAATATGGTGCGATTAAATAAAGAAATCGACAAAGAAGCTACAAATAAGTAGTCTCGATTGTAACAATGACAAAATACGAGAACTGCACTTTGAATTACCTTCAAACTCACTTATTAAACTACATTTCGGATTACTTCCGAACTCACTTATTAAAGTTCGGTTCCTAGCGAATACAAGCTGTTTGCATCCCTCATAGGAATACAACAGGGAATGAGATTTAGATCAAATGAAAAGTTTATTCATCAAACTTGGTGATATTTTGTACGTAAGTAATGTACGCACTAAAAAAGAATGAAAAATGGTAAAGCTCCAGGTCCAGATGAAATACCAACGAAAATCCTTAAACTAATAGAAAAAGACTCGATTCACATTTTAATTGAACTTTTCAATAGCATTTATATATCAGGAAAAATACCCCAAGAATGGCTTTTATCCACCTTTGTTATTATACCAAAAAAGATAAATGCCAAAGAATGTAGTGATTACCGTACAATCAGTCTGATGAGCCATGTACTGAAAATATTACTGAAAATTATACACTCTATAGTACACAGAAAACTAGAAATGGACATCAATAATACCCAGTTTGGATTCCGAAATGGACTCGGAACAAGAGAGGCGTTGTTTGCACTGAACGTTATGTCTCAAAGATGTCTTGACATAAATCAAGATGTATTCATGTGTTTCATATATCACAACAAGGCCTTTGATAAAGTGCGTCATGATCACCTAATCAGACTCCTGACAGAAAAGAATTTAGATAAACGAAACATTCGACTAATAGCAAATATGTACTACAATCAGAAAGTAGTAGTGAGAGTAGAGAATAATACCACTGAAGAAATTGAAATAAAGCGAGGTGTGAGACAAGGGTGTATACTGTCACCAACCCTGTTTAATCTCTATTCCGAAGACGTAATGAATAGAACACTCTCTGAGCAATCCGTAGGTATTAAAATAAATGGTGTTAGATTAAACAATCTGAGATTTGCCGACGACACCGTTCTGATCGCAGAAACACTTGAAGAGCTACAGACATTGGTGAATAAGATAGCAGACTGCAGCGAAGAATATGGACTATCTTTGAACATAAAGAAAACTAAATTTATGGTAATATCGAAATCAACACAAAATGTCCAAAATTTATATTTACACAATGAAATTATCGATCGAGTTAGCAAATACAAATATTTAGGCACTTTTATAAATGAAGACAACGATAGCTCAGCAGAAATCAAAATAAGAATAGAAAAAGCCAGATCCATATTCACTAAAATGAAGAGAGTGTTCTGCGGAAGAGATTTGAGCCTTGAAATGAAACTTTGCCTGATGAGATGTTACGTACTTTCTGTGCTCTTCTACGGAATGGAGTCATGGACGTTGAAAAAGATTGATATCAAAAAATTAGAGGCATTTGAACTGTGGATGTATCGCAGAATCCTGAGAATATCATGGACCGAGAGAGTCACAAATGTCGAGGTCTTGAGAAGAATGAATAAAGAAAAGAAAGTCATATTTACGATCAAAAAACGAAAACTGCAATACTTGGGACACATTACAAGAGGCGAAAGATATGAAACTGCTTCGAATAATTATGCAAGGGAAAATAGCAGGAAAAAGGTCCATAGGAAGAAGACGAAACTCCTGGCTAAAGAATCTACGGGAATGGTATAGCTGTAGCAACAACGAATTGTTTCGGTCAGCAGTTTCGAAAATACGTATAGCCCTGATGATCGCCAACCTTCGGAACGAAGATGGCACTTGAAGAAGAAGAAGGTGATATTTTGAGGCCAAAATAAATTATCATAATTGTGCCAGTTTAATTTTAATATTCTATAAATAATTGCGGTAATAAGACTAAATTTCTTTTTAATTATTTCTAGGTTTCATAACTTATCAACAAATTGAAGACAAACATTCAAATAGCTCCCCTAGAGGATTAAAACCTATAGATAAAACTGTCGTGGAACAGCTAAGACGGGAAGCAACTGTTATCTGTGCACCTTCCGATCCAGATCAGTTGGAAGAAACCAAATGCAACTTATTGCAGTCCCCATGTCTATTCAACATTAAAGATGATCCATGTGAAAGGATCAATTTGGCTTCCTCTAGACCAAATATTGTAAAGAATCTAGAACATCTTCTTCTGGACTATAGAAAAACAGTTGTGCCTCCAAGAAATAAACCACGTGATCCGAAAGCAAATCCAGCATACTGGAATAATACCTGGGTTAGTTGGGCAGATTGCGATAATGTATTTAAAGCCAAAGTAGCTCATAACCCCATTTCTGTGATGGGAATCGTATTAATTATAGGAGCGATATTAGTGCTAGCAATTATGATTTTAATTTTATCAAAAGTAAATTACGATAAGAAACAAAAACGTAAAAATCAACATGTAAGTCAAATTTTAGTTCAAGAAAATAATGTGTAGATTTTGTTATGAGATAATGATTAACATCTTCTTTAAACAATTCCTAGCACAATTTTTAATTCCAAACTAAATTTACAGCTCAAAGAGAGTTTACGAAGATAGTGGTAAATGTTTTTTAATATACTTGGAAACAGTGAGTGACTCTTATCATAGTTGTCTGACTAAGTTTGCCAATGCAACATTATTACCTTCCTTAAGATAAAAGACATAATTTTGATGAAGCATCTTGTTCTTTTTCGTCTAAAGTCAGATCTTTTACAGGTTTAAAATAATAGTACTTATGTATTTTATCTTCATTAGGATTACAGGCATGGCCTTTACTAGAGGTTTTACATATTTAGAATGCTCTAACCAATCACTTATCGGTACACTTAGGCGCTCTCAACTATGCCAAGACTAACAGTTAAGATCATGTTAATGTCTAAAAATGTATGGTAGTTAAGGATTATAGTATTTTTATTTGTGTAAAAACACTATTTAGTCCATATTCTTCACTTTTATTTGAGGACTTTTATTTTTATATAAAAGAGATCTCAAAACAGTAATTAGATATTAGATTTTAAATAAAATTGTAATATAATTTTAACTTATGTACATAGGAACACAAAATAAATATTTTTATTTTTATGTTTTTTTCTCCTTGGTTATTTAGAAAAGTAAATATATTAATTACGTACATAACGGTGATTAGGATAAGGAGCCATAGTATTATCTGCATTATCCATTTCAGCTGTCTTGACATGTAGGGGAGAGTGGTACACATTCACTCATAGTAGACAATAAAACACTGTTATTAACTAAATTAAATTGCCTCCACATTGCCACTAGCGCTGCAACGGATACTCCATAATGCATTGCGTTTTTATATACGGAGTAGTAGACATTATACGACGGTTTTTATTGTTCTTTGTGCCTGAGATTTAAAAACTTGAGCGTTTATGAAAAGGAATGTTGACTATAAATAAATAGTTTTAGTTTAACCCTTTGGGGCCTAGTGGTTCCATGAAGATACCACAAATAAAATAATTTTTGTTAACGGCCTAGAAGTGATTGCTTGGAACCACACTGTCGGAGTCCATTTCTATGTATATCCCCACTTCATACAAATCTTGCCGCCGTATTATTTTATTGTTCAGACACACTAATCGACAGTTGTTTTGTATAAGTCACGGGTGTTGTGAAGTGAAGAACGACAAACAATATACTTAATTTGAAATCAGAAATTTATTCGATAAGTTTTTTGTTATTTCTGTTTGTTATATGCGGTTCTTTTGTGATATTTGATAAATTGGTGTTTGTAAAACTTAGCATAAATTTACTATTTGCAAATAAAATGTGTGTTTCTCCTATGAAACCACCAGGTCAGTGGGATATGCTTACATCTCTGTTTTTGTTTTACTTAAGGTGTTGGTCATGGACATTAGGAAGTTAGCCTCAGACGAGGCATATGCTTTGATTGACGAAATACCATCAGATTTAGAGTCTGTCATTTCAATGGCTCCATCTGAGGATGAATTAGATGAGTTTGAGGATGACTCTATTTCCTTGTTTAATGTGACCTCTCAAGATGGCACTTCCTGTCTAACAATATTTTTGCCCCCACCACCTTTACATTCCCTCTTTTGTCTTTTTGCTCGATGGTACCGGTTCATAAATTAACCAAAAAAATCAGTATTAAAAAGAAAAAATTAACTCCGGCCACAAAGGGTTAAGTATATATGTTGTTATAATACTTAGGATGGATGCCTTTTAACCTATTAATGTCGTTGCCAATCATTGAGAGGTTTTACGTTGACATCCAATTGAAACTTTAAACCTGTGGTAGTTGGTAGTAGGTACACAGTGAAACATATAGTGGAGGTACACAAGGGCACGTGTTTCATGGTGTACCATACTGAATCATTCGATACCAATGACATTCTATTACAGGTGTACCATGGTAAGGAGGAAGAAAGAAAGATCAAGAGTCAAATTTACAAGTGAATAAATGGCCGCAGCCGTCACAGAGGTTAAAAAAACAGGATCGGCACTTCCCGTTGCGGCAGATTTGTTTGGCATAAATTTAGACATTAGCACATTAAAGCGATGTGTTTTAAAAGAAAAAAATTATCCAAATGCAAAAATGGAGCAAAATTATGCTGTTGGATTAGTATTTAATATATAGCATGAGACGTCAATGTGTGATTACATCTAGAACTGTACCAATATGGATTTTGGGTTGAATACTCTAAAAGTAAGAGAATTGGCATATAAAATGGCTGCTAAAAACAATATCACTATGCCAGAATCTTGGAAGGTCAACAAATTTGCAACCAAAGATTGGTTAAGGGAATTTATAAAAATAAATTGATCAGTAAACCTCAGAAGGCAAGAAGAATGTTCACTGTCAAGGCTTACTTCATTTACGAAACCAAATATTGACCGATTTTTTTAAATTTGGAGCAAATATACTTAAAATATCCATCAATTGTTGAAAATATTCGCATCTACAATTTAGACGAAACTGCGACTACGAGTGTTCAACAACCACATAAAGTTGTGGTACATAAAGGTGTTAAATAGCTAAGCCAGTGTACAAGTGCCGAAACAGGACTACTTGCTACTTCTTGTGTAATAATTCGAGCAAATGGAACATTTCTACCTCCGGTCATTGTTTTCTACCTCCAGGAACATTAGCTGAACAATTCATGCATAGATCATTTTATTAAGCATACTGGTACTAAAAAAGAAAACTTATGTTTATCAATATATGGTAATCACGAATGGCATATGTCTCTGGAAATAGCAGAAAAACCAAAAGCTAATGGCATAATAATTTTAACCTTACCCTTACATGCAAGCAATAAGACAAATCATTGGACAAATCAGGTTGTTTCCATCAAAAATTATTACAATAGTGCGATTGATTTATGGCTTATTAATCACCCCGGCGTTTCTAAGACACTGTATCAAATAGCAGCATGTTCTGATATTGCCCGCTCAAAATCAATGACACTAGTAAATATTATGAACGGCTTTAAATCTACAGGTATCTACCTTTCTTATATTTCTTGTGAAACTGATTTTCTATTATCGTCGGTTACTGATAGACAGATTGATGATTTTGAAAACTATGACTGACAAAAAGCTATGGTTGTACTAAGAGATTCTACCAATCACGAAGAAAATGTATTTCTATCTTCATCTTGTTAATATAGCTTTTACGTCATCTAATATAACCTGAACCAAACTCAACTCTTGAAATACCTTCGACATCAAAAAGTCCTTTTATTACCCCATTCGACATACGGGGTTTTCCTAAGGCCGCACCTAGAAAAAATTCAAATCGTAGAGGGAAATCAATGAAAAGTGTCATTTTAACTACTACACCAGAATAAAAGAAGGTAAGAAAACCCCCACAACCGCAACAGTCAAGAAAGTGAAAGAAAATATTTGTAAAGTTATAAGCACAAAATGCTGTAAAAGGGCCCTCGCAGAAAAAAGACCAAGCCAGGTGAAAGTGATTCAGAAACGGATTCCGGAAGTTTAGAGTTGGCAAACTCTTTTGTCAAACTTGAGAAGAACATCCACTATTTAGCCAACATTTTGGAAATTGTGAACTCTCGTGAATTTAAAGTTTCATATTTGAGAAGTACGAAAGTTTCCAATTCATGTTGCTTTTCAGATGTTCCTGATATTCATATGGCTTTTTTTGTTGTCATTGTTCATGGTACCGACTATACACGTCACTGTCCTTTGACAAGAATATTTTACTTTTATAATCACTTACTGGATCTGGTAATTACTCTTGGATTTTTATCTTAAAATGTCACTTTATGAATTTGTTCTGGGGCAACATTCCTAAATAGAGTATATGTGCAAATTAGATCTCGTTCTTTCATTTTAAATATCGCGTAAGCTCATCTTTGTTTTGCTGTTGATTTAATGTTGATTAAATTATTTTTTTCTATTACGAGGGTGATTGAAGGAAAAAATTGGATTAGTTTCTGTGGAACTCTCCCTAACAGCATAATATCGCGAGACGCCACTGCGTTTTGAATTGCTGAATGTAGATATATTTTTTACATAAAGTAAAAAAATATTTTTGATGTGCCATTGACCCAGAACCTTAATTAATACAAAATTTCTTATATTTTGTCCATGTGTCAAATTTATGTAAACATTACATAATTTGATGACGAAACGTAAAAATATATAAAGAAAAAGAAATCAGCCATGTCTCTGATATGTACCTACCTTTTCATATCTACAATGATAATGGTGATGAAGGAGCATGAGGAAATCACACACGTTAAGAATTTATCACAGAAGATGAGATAATATAAAGAAAGGTAAATTTTGCAGGTTAATCAATAAACGTCAGTGCTCAATATGTAATAAATGCAAAATATGTATGAAAAAATGGTAATTTTCAAATAGTTTCATGGTAATGGTAATTTGAATAGTCAGATCAAAGTTGAATTATCAGAAAAAATGTATTGTTATTATCAATGTTCATTAAAAGTATATAAAAAACAAACTGAATTTTTACATTGAAAGTGTTTGGAGAAAAATATACCTTTTATAGATATCTACATAAATTGGGCTTTGATGCATTACAGTTAGGAAGTATAGATTGGAAATTGTTTTTCATTATTTAATGAAATAATGCCAATAAGTCGTTTAGATGTAGTATATAGAAAACTTCTGTTATCTAAATTTTTCACAAAAGGATGGGGGTCAGCTGATAATTTACAAAGATTGTTCAAATTTCGAAAAATAATATCCAACAGAGATCGTTCTTATAGATTAGTGCCAAACACTTATCCTATCAAAATATTAAATATCGCGAAGAAAACTGACTGTAGAATAATAGAAGGCAAATTCCGAAGCCCTTTTGCTAATTTCCTACCTGGGCTAGTACCTGAAGCAGTACAAGATTGCTATTTTCAAATGTTGCTTCCTTTGAAGTGGAAAAGTGATTACAAACCAATGTGCATTCATCTAGCAGGGACAGGTGATCACTATTTTTGGCGAAGAAGGAATTTTATGGCTAAACCATTATTGAAAGAAGGTATTGGAGCTATTATATTAGAAAATCCATTCTATGGTGTTAGGAAACCAAAAAATCAAATAAGATCTAGTCTTCACTATGTATCTGATATTTTTGTTATGGGTGGCTGCCTAATATTTGAGTGTATAGTTCTTCTAAACTGGTGTGAAAAATATGGTTTTGGTCCTTTGGGAATTACTGGAATTTCTATGGGAGGTCACATGGCTTCTTTGGCAGCATCAAACTGGCCCCGACCTTTAGTGTTAGTTCCTTGCTTATCATGGTCTACTGCATCTTCAGTATTTACAGAGGGAGTAATGAGTGAGTCAATAGATTGGGAAATGCTTCAAACCCAATATAAATCCAATAGCTTTCTGTGTAATCAGCTGTCTAAACAATGTCAAATCATTGATAACCCCTTTTTGTGTGACCTTGTTCAAAATTTGCTAGGCAATATTTTCATTAGATCTGGTGAACAAAAAATAGAAGCAGTTAAGGATCTAGATATTCTATTACATTTCTTTGATGATTCGAATATTCGCATGTCCAATATAACACCCCACCAACTGATCAATGTTTTAAATAAGTACTGTGATATAAAACACACAATGTCTCCAATAAAACAACCATCGCCTAGAAAAGAGTTTACTTCTTTTAATATTTGGAATCCACCTCAACGTCCCAAATTTAACAAAAAAATAATGGAAGTAAAAATGAAAAACAAAGAAGCCTTGTGGTTCATGAGAGGTATGATGGATGAATGTACTCATTTGAGAAACTTTTGTGTGCCTTACGATACGTCCTTAGTGATTTCGGTTTGTGCCGCAACGGATGGATATGTTCCCAGGAATGGAGTGTCACAGCTGGAAGATATCTGGCCCGGATGTACTGTTAAATATATTAATTGTGGACATGTTGGTGGTTACGTATTTCATCAAAAACTTTTCAGAAATGCCATTATGGCAGCCTTTGAACGTGCCAAAAAAAAGTTAGGACCACCTCCACCCAGCGATCTCAAAATTTAGAAAGACTTCCAGAAAATAAATTATACCTACGTAAATATTGTTAAATTGATGTCTATATTGAGATATATCTAAAACATTTTGTACAATTTTTACTGAAACGATTTAATAAAATAATAATAGGCTCCCTTTTTGTAGCTAATGTAGTTTAGCAGTATAACTCAGTCGAGGGCTATTTAGCAGATGCATATTCAAGGTAAGAGTGAATCCTTTCTGGACATTTCGCTGGTTTCAAAGTCACTTCTAAGCATGGTCGGAAGTTGGACTGTTTTAGAAATGAAAAGATGGGGATATCAATCTAAAGAAATGTTTAAATGGCGACGTTTTTGTAAATGCTTTGGCTTGATTTGTCACTGATACGAGGATGTGAGTGTAGCACAGGAGTTGGGTTGTGTAACATAAAATGGGAAAAATATGGAAGGAAGCAACCATACTGGTGGAACGAGCGGCTTGAAAATTAAGAAGAGTGCAAGCAGGAGGTTTGGAAGAGTGAATGAATGAATTAAAGCGAATGTATAATGAATACAGGAATGAGATAAGAAGATCTAAGAGAAAAAAGGTGGAGTAACCTCCTTCAGGATCTCGAAAGTTATATCTGGAAACAGGGCTTGAGTATTGTGTGTACGGAATTGAAGAGGGGAAAGACGCGCTACCCCCTACCTGAGGACGAGGCGTAAAAGGGTTACCGGTTTCGTTAACCAGGTAAATAAAGGGCAAATATACCAGTATCAGGTTGTCGCAGAGTGTTCCGCAGGGTTCAGTACTAGGTCCCACTCTGTGGAATGTCCTGTACAGCGAGGTGTTGAGGCTACAGATGCCAAGGAGATGCACACTTGTAGCTTATGCCGATGATCTCGCACTGGTTGCGAAGGCGAGTCAGAAAATGGACATGGCTAATGCGGTTAACACAGCCCTGCATCTTATTAGTAAGTGGACCAGAGAGAACGATCTACAGTTAGCACCTCACAAAACTGATGTGGTAGTTCTCAAAGGGAACTGCTTTATAGTGGAAGATGTGGGGGTTGCATCGATTAAATCGGTTAAGTATCTCAGAGTTTGATCGTCGTAAGGACTGATATTCGGAATTCACATACAAAAGACATAGGAGAGAAGGGGGTTACTGTGGACCATTTTTACTTATTAGCAAATTAAAAAATATGTATAAGATTCTTATTGCTGAACTTACCTCACATATTTACTGTAAACATCAACTCAACTTTCGATGTGAATATTTTATTTGTATCTTTCTTAATAGAATAAATATTTTGATTCAAATCGGAATCAATAATTTGTCCACAATGACCCCGTGGTGGGGTTAAAGTGGACAGAGTATGGGGTTATAGTGGACGCATAGTAAAACATATACAGGAATACTGAAAACTTTATGTTAACAAAAAGAAACTACGATACATTATTAGAACTGAAATTAATATTAAATGAAAATAATCTTCCTTGCCTTTTCGTGCCAGTGTCTACTGGGTGCTCCAAAATTCCGACAATATCGTTCTTGTCGACAACTGAGACATCTTCAACTTCGGGAAATACGAAATTATTCACTTTTTTCCTTAAACAATTAATTTGTACCTCCACATCTCGAATATCTACGATTTGGCCAACATAGTGTGTTACCGATTTTTTACCCATAAATTTTACAAGTACGAAATCATTTTTCTCCATTTGTTTGTTCATAAAAATATCGTTGTCCTGACCATCATCTTCCATCCAGCCTTCATCCTCTGATTCAAGTATTACTTCTGTAGAAGAATTGGAAGAGGCAGATTCTTTCCTACTCCTTTTTGGTTCATAGGAAAGAGATTTCTTCACTCTATTCTTTTCTCGCATTTCAGCTCTTTCTTGCGCACGTCTTTCCTTCAAATCTTTAGCCTCTTTTTCAGCTTCCAACTGATCTTTCACTGGTGTGCTCGTGTAAATAGTCGACTTTTTATTTTTTCTTGCTTTGGAGTTTGATGAGCGATCTGCTTTTAGAAAAGGGCGGCAGCTCTCAGGAGTAATTACAGCTGTTGATGTAGTTGCTACTGATGGTGAAAGCGTAATGGGAGCTACAGGTAGCAGTCTTGTGGAGATTGAAGCAACTTCTAATATTCGCTCAGGATCTTCAGGATTTCTTGGGTTCATTGCTGTTGGTGGTTCTTGATTCCTATCTGTTGTTTCGGCAGCTTCATAATCCTCATCGGTGAATACAAGACGATTTATTGGCCATAAACCAGCAGATCTGAATCCAGATGTTATATTCTTCATTGTAAATGCCACAGGAAAAGCAATACCACACAGTTGAGCAACATCATATATTTGTATAGGTCTGCCTGGATGATTTTGAAGCCAGTCTCCCATTGCAACCCGTAATGCAGCTTTATAAGGACCATATACTGCAACATTTAGCGGCTGTAGTTTCTGGCTACAATGTGGCGGAAACGATAAAAGAGTAATTCCAGATTCTCTAGCTAAGTTTATAGCTTCCAAACTTATATGACTTGAATGATTATCCATTAATATCAGTAGAGGGTTTTCTTTAGAAGCACTTAAGTGCATTTTTATGTGCTTTAGTACTTCTAAAAATAATTCAGCAGTCATATAGCCAGACTGATGAGCCAGACCAATGCTCCCTATTGGTGCACCATCTAAGAACCGGTCTTTCATATTCTTCCTGGGGAATATGAAAACTGGAGGTATTGCTTGTCCAGTGGCTGTTATAATTCCGCACATTGTAACATTTTCACCGCGTTCTTGAGAGGCCACAGCTCCTATTTGTTTTTTTCCCTTTTCAGCTATACGTTTAGGTGGTGGTAAGACCGTGGGTATACCTGTCTCATCTAAATTTATTATCCTTTCTGGCCCTTCCTTTAAATTTATCTAAAACTCCAATGTAATTATCAAAAAATAAATCCACGTTGGATTTGTTAAAGGCTGCATCTCGTGCTATGCTTGTATTTTCAGGTTTTCTAAGAGATAAATCACCATGTCGTTTCATAAATGAATATATCCAGTCCTTTCCTGCTATCTTATTTTTAGTCCAATTCGAAGGAATTTCTATTTGTAGAGCACTACCATACTCAAAAGCTAGGGTACAAGCCTGCTTGTAAGTCAAGCCATAATGTAATCGAGACGCCTTCTTAAGATAATTGACAATGTGTTGTTCTTGTTCATCAGAAAATATTTGGCGACCTCGAAATTTATTGACGCCAGAAACATTCAAGCTAACAATTTCTAACTCATCTTCGTTACCTGAATCATCACCAGAGGGTATATTAGCATCTTGAAGGTTCCTCTTAGCCGAAATGACGCTTTTGTGAAGCATACTTTTTTTCAATTCATATTTCTCTGCAATATTTCTCAAGCTTCCTTTTTTTCTTAGGATATCCTTTATTGCACGCTCTACAACTTTTTCATCAATATCAGCTCTCGCCGTTTTTCTACTGTAAGTCCTCATCTGAAACAAAAAGCGATTTTTATCACATGATTTTTGGAAATATAATCATTTGTGGGGTTAGTGTGGACAGCTGATGATTTGTCCACACTAACCCCGAACGCCATGTTTGACAGTAACAATGGAATGACGTTTCGAAAAATGATAATTTTATCTCATTCCATGTCAAATGTAGTAATTAAATATTCCAGAAGCCATACACTAACTTAGGTATACAATTAGTTCAATAACTTCAATTTTAGTATAATTTTACTTACCGTGTGAAATAAATGGATACAACACACAAAATCACTTTCTGTCACTGGCGGCCATATTATAGAAAATATTTCAACCAACTTTTACGTGGTGTTCGGTGGCGTTAATAGTCACTTCCTGAACAGACTGGGCGGCAGATTTTAAATGCGAGTTTTTAAATAATTAACTATGTCCACACTAACCCCATGTCCACACTAACCCCCCTCCCCCCTACATACATACAAAGTACCTACTTTCACCTGATACTGACCTTCCCTATCCTATCTGGAGAACTCGCAATCACCTGAGGGTGTCTAGTGTAAAACCGACACAGAAAAGTATAGACTGTATAGTTTCCATATGTCTGTCTTTTGCGGCTTGCATCAAATTACTGCTAATACGCTTGAGGTTGTTTAAAGTATGTTAATAAGGTCTCAATTAAACTACTGTATTGGCTGAACATATATTAAGAATATTCATACATTACAACATGATCATGTCGCCCATTGTCCCCGTTGGGAAGTGGTGTTGACATTGACATATTTGACATAGTTACCAGGTTTACGTTAAGCCTATCTTACATTAATGTCAAACAGAGGTCATCAGTCCATCTCTGCTCCGTAGTGCTTCTCGTCTTCGTTTCTACTGGACAATACGTTTTGTTCATCGGTTGTCTGATAGTCATTAGATATACCGACCAATAAAAGATTTGCTTTTTGAACAGAGTTTTATTTCTAACCAACAATTTACAGGCCATGTATATATTTTATGAAAATCAATTTGAAAGTCACGAATAAACTATTTTTTCTGTTCATAGTATATTAACAAGTATTTACATTATCTAGTTCCCATATCAATAAAGCATTTTCCATCGAAAAAGCTGCTTTCTCTAAAATCTACGAGTTCATAGTGTCACGTACAAGAATTTCAATCAAAACTTTTATAATACTATTCTGGAATATGCGTTCAATATTAAGAAAAATATTTGGTACTTTTTTAATTTTCGCAACTTTTATTCACTTCGAATTGTATTGCAAGTTGTGCTAAATATTGTATTAAAATACTAAAAACTGAAGTTAATAAAAAGTATGAAGTTATTTATATTGGAAATATACGGGTTGCTATAATATCTTTTACTATTTATTCATAACAATACAGACAAGTTAAAGATTAAGATATTTTTTTAAAAATGTATTACTTAATGCGAAAAATAAACAGTTACCATCTAAAAACAAGTTAGCGTTATATATTTATTCATATGTACAGAACCACACTTTACGCTACGTTTGATGTTTTAGAAAAGTAGATCTTCATCGCCCTCATCCAAAAGCATATTTGCCTGGGACTCTTTAAGTAGCCCAGCCGCGAGAAGAGCCTGTTTTTGTTTTTCGACTTTTGCTCTGTGTATCTTCTTTTTGTCCTGGATCTTCTTTAATCTATAGAACTCCTCTCTTTCCAACTCGTCCAGTTCGGATATGATGTAAGCCAAAGTACGCTCTATTCTTGGAATGATAACTAAAATTTAAAATAATAATAGCTTAAATTTTAGATTATACATGAATGTCAAGTACTTTTCAAAAAAGCTAGATATAAACCGAAAACCACTTGACCAAAAACACCGAAAGACCAGTTGACAAAATATATATCCTATATGTGGATGTTAAAAGCACATCTAACATAAAGAATGCAAGCAAAGGAGGGGAGGAGACTGATGTATATACAGGGAACAGCTAAATTATGGAATATTATCATTATTTCGAGAACCGTCGAGTTTTGAGGGAAATCCTGAAACAGGTCGATGTGTCCATAGATTCGCATATTGTCAAGAAACCAATGGATGGCATTTCGAACATTGAAATAAACAGGGTATACATTTTGAATTAAATCAGGTAAATTATGATCAAATTGAAACCCAACTTGGTATGCTCTCATTGTATGACTGATGATTAATTAAAGATGCAAAGATGCTTTATGGCATAATTAATTCTACAGTCTTGTCTCCTCAGCTACTTGAGCAGGTTGGTCTGCATGTACCTCTTCACAGAACCAACTATGCATATAATAGTTTTTTATCTCTAGCATTAAGATGCTAAACTTTTTTGAACTGAAGGCCAAATTAATTTCTAGTCTTAGGCATGTGTTTATTTGAGTGGCTGTGGAATAGGTAATCACTATTTTGATGTGTAAAACTAAATCATGTGATGAAGTTTGTGATGTTTATACTTTTATTATTTTGATATTTATATTTATACTTATATTTTTTTGTTTTATTGTATAGATTGTACACATTGTTAATCTTATTGGGCAGCAGCCCATTAAAAATAAATAGATAATGTTCTTAATTTATTTAAGATACATATATCCGCAAAATCAAGAGTGGAAACTAAATAAATATCCAGAATTTGAATTTTTTTTATCTAATTGATGGATTCAACCGTTACTTGATGGAAATTCATTTTATGTAACAATAAAACACTGAAAACTTGGTTTTCAAACTTCCACAAAATTTATTATAAATCTCATCACTACAGCTGTTTCGGCTAATTGCCTTTCTCAAGTGATCTATTTTTGGCTTGGGTTTACAAATTAATAGTCTCTAATGAAATAGGTTGAGGAGGGGAGAACTGTGTGTGTGTCTCAAGTTGGTCATTCAGAATTATATCTGTGTTTTTTAATTTGTTGATTTCCATAGATTCTAACAAAGATAGCTTAAGGCCTTTATTTTGAATGTGAAGAATTTTAAATTTGTCATTAAACGAATGATTATGATCTAGAAGGTGAAGTGCGTATATTGAATCTGTTTTTCTATTTTTGAAAGCCCTTTTATGTTCTGCTATTCGTTTATCAAAGTTTCTACTAGTTTGACTGATGTAAGTTTTTGGGCAGTCGCCACATTGCCAACAAAAATTGCCAAACACATAAAAAAGAAAGGAATAACACCAGCTTTCCGAACAAATAACAACCTAGGCAAATATATTAAAAATAACAAGAGCAAAAATAAAAAAACACTTAAATAGTGGTGTGTACAAACTTCAATGTGGCGACTGCCCAAAAACTTACATCGGTCAAACTAGTAGAAACTTTGATAAACGAATAGCAGAACATAAAAGGGCTTTCAAAAATAGAAAAACAGATTCGACATATGCACTTCACCTTCTAGATCATAATCATTCTTTTAATGACAAATTTAAAATTCTTCACATTCAAAATAAAGGCCTTAAGCTATCTTTGTTAGAATCTATGGAAATCAACAAATTAAAAAACACAGATATAATTCTGAATGACTAACTTGAGACAAACAGTTCTCCCCTCCTCAACCTATTTCATTAGAGACTATAAATTTGTAAATCCAAGCCAAAAATAGATCACTTGAGAAAGGCAATTAGCCGAAACAGCTGTAGTGATAAGATTTATAATAAATTTTGTGGAAGTTTGAAAACTAAGTTTTCAGTGTTTTATTGTTACAATTTTTTATCTGTTTAATCCTGTGTTTATGGACTTTTTCTTTGTGTTATATTAGAAATAACAATGACTGGAATTGGCATTTGGGTTTGCTATGTGATATATTGTAATAAAACAGTTGTATCTGGATTATAGATTGTGATACAGATTTATTTCCTCTTGGTGTTTCATCTGCAACAACTGAGGTAAACATTGTCAAAGGAGATACACTTTCTTAAAATACTATGGCAAAAAATACAAATATAATAAATGCCTCATTCAGATTCAAACTTGTCCATCTAGAATGAAGAATCGCAGACATCATATTGCTTGCAGCATCAGATAACACAATATGAAGTTTCTTTGTAGAGATACACATGGCTTTGCTATTATTATAAAAACTGAAAAACTTTTGGTAAAAAGAGTAAAATCTTAATACTGGCAGTAGACAAATCACTATATTGTGGATTAGGTTCATATAATATCCAATATGATAGAAAACATCCTAGAAAAAGTCTGTTAAGCATATTTTTTTAATGATACTCTCATTTGACAAGGATATGGGATAAGAATCTTATTTGTAAATTAAAAAGAGCCCTACCAATAGAATAGTCTGAACTAAAGTATTCATATATTCCAAAATATGATTAGTTCGTATACCAGAAATGGTGTTTTACCTCTGATACAGAAACATATTACACGATAACTACTAGAATATAACCTAACTAAATGTTAAGATGAATACTGTAGGTAGTAAAGAATAGTGCAGTTTAGCATCCATATGTAAAATGTGTCAACAAATTACAGTAAGTCAACTTCATCTTATAGAAACATTATTCAATAAAACTGACCTAATTTTGAGGATATTGATCATTCTGATTAGATTTCTATGTCCATATCCATAAACTAAAAACTGAACCAAAAAATTTGCATTACCATGAAAACCAGGATTAAATTAACAAATACTGTAATATGGCTATAATCAATTGAAGAAAAGTCAACAAATCACACTTGGTCAATATAAATATATATATAACTTACCATGTTCAATGGCGTTGACTCTTCTATTGGTTATTTTGATTACATCATCAAGTGTTACAAAAGAAGTTTGCAGAGAAGCTAATTCAACCAATAGTTTAACAGCACTTTGATAGTTCTTCTTTAGTTTTGTCAATTGTTGACCTCCCCTAGCCAAACCAGCCAGCTCATATGTATCTGTACCATCTTGGTAGCATTCAAAAACTGGTAAAGTAACACCTAAAATCAACAAAATATATTGAAACCTAAAAAAATTAAGTTATCATCCATGTATGAATTAATAATATTTAGAAGTAAAGAATATGAACACAAAATTTTCACTTTAGAAAGGAGAGAATAGATTTCTCTGATAGATAAAAAAGGTCTAATATTCAATATTAAAATAAATTACTTATTGTTATGGACTTCTACAAAAATAATATAAAAAAAACAATATTGTCTAAAAAAGATACTTGCCAGCAACATTGTCTTTCTTAGTTCTTATTTTTATTTGAGCCTTGGTGACATTTTGAAGAACAACTTGATTGAAGTCACCAGTAGCAAATTTCGCTTCAGCTAAAGAAAAAGCAGCTTCCTTCATTACTTCACCCATAAGAGTTTTAGTCTGCAAGAAATTGTATTATTATAAAAATTTACTAAGATTGAACAGTCTATAGTTATAAAATATGTGTTTATCAATTATTGATTCTTAAAATTACTCTGGTAACCACTACTACTACTAATGATTAAAGGGACTTATCAGTAATCTGAAGAAATTCAAATAATTTTACAAATATTGGTGATTTACAAGAACTTCCCTCATTGACATTAGTTGTTGATAGTAGTAAGATTAAGTAGTTAAGTATTATTAATTTAAATATCTTTAACAAAAGTTCGAAGGATTATGATACCTTAGAAGTAATAATGAAAAAGATGATAATACCATGGACATATTACATCCATGGATAATACTGAGTACTCTAATGTAAATGAAACAGTTAAGTTTGGTTGTGATTGCAGCATTAAAATAATACATAATGATCACTAAAACTCTTTAATTTTTTAGAAAACTTTAGAAGGAATAAAAATTATTGATTTTATTATTAAAACCATATTTATATGATTACTCTTTCCTATTAAAACTGTAATTTTTATTTTTCTCTCCTATTAAAATATTTTAAAGCATATTTTAAAATTGTACATCAAATTATAGAATTAATGGTAGTGAACAATGTATATGGTACATGTAAATACCAACCTCAATAATTTTGTTCAAAATCATTCTAAATCTCATTTGTAAAGCATCAGCTTTCTTCTTTAATAAACTATGTCCCTTTTGGGCTCCCTTTAGCCTGGATTTCATCGTCATTTGGGCTCTAAAATAAATTTATAAGTGGTCACTCCCTCAATAAAAATATGATAAGTTTCAATGTATTAGCTTTAATGGTTTAGCAAATTATTAACTTATTTAAAAATATATTTACCCTCTAGATGGAAAAATCATTAATCTATCTTTTGAGGCCATTTTTGAGACTTAGAATAAAATATTCTGTAACTAAAGTGTGTTGAATATAAGACTGGACCAAAAAGTCAGCTGACACCAACAGCACCTGACACTATGATTGAAGTTAAATGACATTTAAGTCATGTGATCTTTTATTTCATTTTATCCCATGTAGGTTAATAGAGACAGAACGCTGCTTGGGGTTATTATTGTGTAAAAAGTATTGCCTGCACTTGGGTTCTTAATTTGAAATATTTGTCCTTCCATAATAATAAACGTAATATCCATAGACAAATATATATAATAGTAGAATTAATATCAAAGAATATTGACGCAGCGTCTGTATTCTTTGATAACATCTTTAAAAATAAATAAGAAGAGATTTTTGGATACTTGCAAACAATATTGTTGTCTATATTTTCTCCACTTAATCATGCATTTTTCCTTTGAAATGACCTTTCATCCAAGCAATAATAACTTCTCCATCTCATAACACAATTTTAAAATCTCTGTATTAAGATGGGTTAATTGCTTGGATTTATTTGTTAAGCCTATTCTTTCTATTGTAATTTTACTGTCTTTAAATGTTACACAGCCCATCATTTTCTTTATTAAAACGCGACAAAGAGCAAACTTTAATGCCAGCAGTTCGGCCCTACATATGGTTGCTTCATCAATTAACTTATATATTTATACTGTTGTTCAGAATTATGTTGGTAGGTATACGACGCTTGCAGTGTCATTTCCTTTTTTCGAACCATCAGTAAACATATAATAATAATATTAGAATTAGACCATCTCTTTTGAATTTCTGCTTTGGAATAGGAACAATGGACATCACGGATAGTGCTTAATAATCTGGATACTGCGGCAGGAGCGCGGAGTATTTGTCCGCATATATTTTTGAAAACTGGCTTAAATTTATTGTTTTAACTTCAGAAATAATTTAAGTAGATGTTAGTTAACTATTTGTAAAATAATAAACTACAGCTAGAGTATTTATTCTGAGTAAAATGTTATAAAATTTTAAAATATGTAATATCGGGAATACACTCAAAAAAATTATTTAAAATCGAAACAACTGATTAGAACATAAAAGTTTTAATGTTTACATATAGTTTTAATTCTATTCAAAAAATTTATCCTTAAAACAATCTGGTCAAGCATAGGCAGTGTGTTTGCCATACATAAATTTTCCACAATTTTTGCATTTGCGACTGGTGGGTCTGTTTTTTATTCTGTCGCAATTTGCCTCTTCTCTACTTTCTGGAATATGTCGATATTATATCTAGAGCATCTTTTGCTTCTGCTTTCGACAAACTCTGCCTTTTTTGTTGCATCTGCAGCTGTATATCCGCTCTAGTAATTCAATTATCTTTCGTGAGTGTATAATTATGAGAACTTGACACTGATCTTATTCCAATTTCTATGTGAGTGATTACTCACTTTACTGACTCATCTACTCATACACCTCATTCACTCATCTAACTCATTTACGTAACTCATCACTCACTCCTAATCTAAATCGGTACCTGGGCATTATTAGTAGAAACATCTCAACTCATGTACAGTTTTTATTTTAAAGTTCGTCTCTGATTAACGTACCACTTTTCAATACACCTGCCAAATAGAGTAAACCAATAAAATTTCGGAAGCATCTATTTCCTTTGTGTTCCTCTCTCGATTGTAGTTTTCTTAGAGTGTATTATATGTTTGTAGATCCAACAATAATGTTTAATGTAAAAAAAATATTTCCAAAGTTCTAGATCACCTTTTAAATTGGTAAATTCTTTAGACCCTGCCAAATGCGTAATTAAGTTTTATGAACGTGTTTTAAAATTTCTTGGAGGAATATGTGTCATCAATTAAGTACCTAGTTGTTATAATGCCAACAGGAGAAACAGAATGCATAGAACTAAAAGGAGGAATCCGCCAAGGAGACTCGCTCAGCCCATTGTTATTCAATATGATGATGAATCAAATAATTCATGAAGTAAGAAAACGACACGGATACCACATGGGAGAGCATAAAATCACGATACTATGCTATGCTGATGATGCAGTACTAATTACTGATAACGAAGATGACCTACAAAGACAGCTCAACACCTTCAATATCACAGCAAACAAACTTAATATGAGAATATCAGTAGAAAAAACTAAATGTATAGTGATCAGTAAAGAGCCGCGTAGATACAAACTAGAAATAGATGGCAAAATTGTGTAACATGTAATGAAATTCAATTACCTAGGAGTAGAGATCACTAGTGACAGGGATATAAGAACAGAGATCACAAGGCAATCATCAAAAGCGGCAAGAGTAAGTGGTTGCCTCCGTGAAACCATATGTAGAAACAAATATCTGACTATGGAAAGCAAAATGAAAGTATACAAGACAAGAGTAAGACCAATCCTAACATATACAGTGGAGACAAGGACCGATACAAAAAAGACGAAACAACAAATCAACAATATCGAAATGAAAGTATTAAGATCAATAGCGGGCATATCATTAAGAGACAGACAAACCAACAGAACTATAGACGAACAATGCAAAATCCAAAATATTAACAGGTGGATAAAAACAAGAAAAAAAACTGAAACGAACATGTAAACTTAATGGGGCCATATAGATTAGCGAACATCTATAAAAACAACAAGCCGAATAGCAGAAGATCCTATGGAAAGCCGCCAAAAAGGTGTAAAGATAATGTACAGTTAACAACGACTGAAACAGAATAAAAGGCAAACAAACAGGAGTAATCCTAGTCGCACGAAGAAAAAGTATTTACCAAGAAAGAAAGGACCATCGAAAACCATAATTTCAATAATTTCCATATCAGAAATTTTTTGTTCTGTATCAGTATTTTCATCCATTTGTTCTGAGTTTAATTCTTCTTCGTCATACTAGTCTTGAAAGCTTTCGTCAAGCCCTTCATCCGAGTGGGTAGTCGTTGGAGCATATAATATAATAATAATCATAAAGGTCTTTATTTTTCCTTCAAATTCATACAATACACAAAATATATAAAATTATACATGCATATAATACAATAAGAATGAAAAAATGCCGAAGATCAGGTGGTGCTGATTTCAAGAAATCAGTACCTCTGCTTTTCATCTTAAAATATATCTGGATTACTTTGCATTTAGTTTGAAGATGAGATATACAATTCTGGGGCTTATGCTGATAATTTCAACTATATATTGTGTATGCTTTCTATATATAATGAATCCTACTCAACTATTTGAAGTGTCTTCTTTACCTCTAGAATGATATACGTCCTGATTAAGAGTAATTTGGACTTCTCTTGGGATAGTTTTTGAAAAATTAAGAAGTTTAGATCGGTGCTGCTTTCGTCCGCGCGCCAACCGTGAAAGGTTAAGAAATTCTGTCTTGATTTTTATTGAGAACAATATATGGGGATTTTCAGTATAATATGGTGTAAGATAACCATTATATAAAATTTCTTTATATTTTAAAAGATTTATGTAGCTTTCCGCCAGAAGTGGAGATTTTCTCTTAAACCAATAGTCAAATTCAAGATAGATAAATCGTTTATCCTCCTCCTCAGTCCTAATCCCTTTTGGGATGTGGTGACACTATCAGGCCCTTACAGTTTTTTCACGATTTCCCTCCATACTTCTGTCCTGGGCTAGTTTTTTGGCTTCATGTAACCCTTGGTTAATCAATATTTTTGTTTGATCTACCCAACGGCTTGGAGATCTTCCCCTAGGTCTCTTTCCTTCAACTCTAAAATCGTTTATATCTTTGGGAAATACCGGGTTTCTCCTAATTGTACAAGCTATATATTTGGCTGTAAAATACTGCCTCCGCAAATTCAATGGGGGTTCAACTGCTTCAATTTGCATTTCGTTGATTGTGTAGATTAAAGATACCCAATGCATAGGCGTAGACATCTATTTTTTAGTGCTTCAATTTTTGTTAAAAGTGTGTGTGATATTTCTGTTTGTTATTATCTAGTCTATCGTTGACTGTTGAACTTGTTTATTCTGCCAAATGTATTTGTGTTTGGGTTTGTAGAGAGTAAATCGTTTATTCTGAAATTAGTATGTTAAGTTAATTTTAATCTTACATTAAGATCTCAAACAATTACTTTTTTTGTTCATTTCTCTGTATTATGTCCATTGCATATTGGAAACTATCATAAAAATCTTCGGTTTTACTTTCCGGTTTGCTTACTAGCGCAAACTCCACAGCTTTCTGTAGGTTAAAAGTTTTAAAATTACGAATTAAAACATTATAGAATAAAAACCATGATATATTTAACAAAGAGTTTATTTTTTAAATAATAAGTACTTACTTTTTAAAATCTATTCGTACTACTGTATTAAATAATATTTAATAATCAATAAATATACAACCTGAGATTCATAATAAACAAAACAAAAATAAGTTAAAGCCTATACATTCGTCAACGATAAAACTTTATTTCTACTCAGTTTATGCGCATATTATTATATCCGTGATCTAATCCCATAGTGTAGTAGAGAAACGGACTTACTGCTGCAAAGAATAAACTTGCACCTAACATCGGTCTGTACATAATCCAAGCAGTAGCTACTACACAGAGAGTTACAGAAAATGCTAGAACCAAGTTACTAAAAGACAGTGGATCTCCGCTGTAGAAACTTAAGAATGAACCCTGGAATACTAAAAAAGAAATGTTATAGATAATTTATTGCACACAAGATATTTTTGACTTATTTTTTATCATTATGATTAAAACATTATTTATGTTTAACTTCAATACAGTCATAGATTCTGGTTATAAAAGATGTTTTTTATATTAATTCAATAATTCCTGATAAAAGCACATAAAAAATGTAGTTACAAAAAATATTGTTTAGCAAATCAATTTTGTAGCATAAATGAGATAACAACCCATTTTCTCATTCATTTAATAATTTCTTAGATATTCTGGAATTACCCCTGTTGTATCAAAACAAAATAATGTATTTTGATTACATTATGACAAGAAATCAATCGCTATTTTTATCTGTTTTCCTGTTATCTGATCCAAGAATGCGCCATGTTTACGTTTGTGTTGTCCTAGTACATACATTTTCGATTTCCTAATGACCCTTGACATTAGTTAAATGTCTGTTTTCTGCCAACTGACAGAATCGGTATGTGATATATACTATAACAATGTTAAATGTCAGAAGTAAATTGTTACCGGCACTTACCGGGTCATTTTTATTGTGTATGCTTCGCCCATGTGGATAAGTGAAAAGTAGGATGGTACCATAAAATTGGTCCCCACAACAATATACTTTCTGCATATCAGTGCGATTCAGTGAATAGTTGAACAAGTTCGTTGAATACTTTGAAACATCGTTAAACTTATCAACACTTCGCTGGTTTATATGATTACGTCCTTGGAAAGAAAAGGAATGCGTGAAATAGTATAATCGTTTGGTTTCATCATCATGGTGATATAGTTTCGCACTTCAATTAATAAAGACTTGTCAAAAAAGTTGACGTTTTTCACTTCTCTAGTTGTTTTTACATTGCTAAGTTATTCTAAAAGTGTTGGTACCTTAAATATTTAGTTTAATTATTGTTTAACGAGATGTTTCAATGACAGTAATAAGTACTGTAGCAGCTGTCTTGATTATTGGTGAATGTTGTTGAAAAATCAACTAATTCGTCACTACTTCAATTTAATTTAAGGCTGCCACTGTGGTTAATAAAAACCCAAACGATCGTCAGCATCTTTGATACCTCTCCAGCCCGCACACCCCTTCGTCCCTTTGTCGTCGACACCCCCATAAGAGGGAAACCAATGAATCCGTTAAAAAACAAATCCTGTAACACAAACTTGACAGGCCACCACGAGGGTTTGGTGTTCTATGGGAAATTGGTGGAAATAATCCATTCATTTCTCTTTAAATGTAGAAACAATTTTCATGCAGCAGAACATCTTTTTAATGAGAGGTACCCCGATGGCCCTATGTCGAGGATTTATTTCTTAGGAAATTTGAAGAAACATGTAGTGTCCAAGATGTCAAACGATCTGGTGGACAAAAAATTGACAATTGCAGAAGTGGTAGTGAACCCTAATTCTTCTACAGCCTAACCATGCAACAAAATTGTGCGTCAGATGATGGCCTCGACCAAGACTAGAATTATGTGAAAATATATCCAAATAAATTAAACAACAGCCAGATTAAGAAACCATTGAGTTTTGTATATCATCAGATCATAATTGCTCAATATTGTGTGATAATTTAATTATATGATAAGAAATACAATATCTCTCTATGGCTTGTCATCCGCACTAAGCATGTCTAAGGTATAATATGTTTACCTGTATGACACAACTGAACTAATCAATTTGAGAAAAATATCGGATGTGCACAATAAGTAAGGAATGTAACAGTATTAAAACAAAAACTTTCATATTTCACTTTTTGATTTAAAGTTATCCTTGATAAATGCAAAAAATTCTCACCCATTATTTTTATAAGCCTTGATAAACAAACAGCAGCGCCATAAAGTATAAAAAAGCCTAATCCTCGTAACTTCCATGTTTCCAATCTCGCATCAAAATGCTCAGCAGAAAACATCTGATTTATGTTTAGGTTTCCTTGTCTCAGTAAAGCAATTTTGTGACCCTTTGATGTCTCATAGGGAATTAATGCCCCACTTTCTTGCTTTGCTATTATAGTGACCTAAAAAGTATTAAATAAAAACAGAGAAATCATTCAGGAAACTGATGCATACAGGTTCACCTGAGGCACCAGCATAATAAAACTGAACCCTTATATCCCCTACTTCTGGATTCCAAATATCATCACAGTGGTAATATATACCCATATGAAGTTTAACATCTCTTCTGTCTGGTCTTTCATCACTGGTAACTTCTATGAAATCATCAAATTTATCTTTTATTTCATTTCCTACTAGTAAATGCCCTAGTTGTACTATAGGGGAAACATAAGTTACTGATGTCAATGGTATTTCCCTAAAAGTAAAACTATTATTATATTGTTTTGTCAAGTTGCATTTTATTATCTCAGCAGAATGCTGTAGTATTATCTGCCAAGAGCTTTTGCTAACTGTTATTAATTAAGTAATATGAACCACAAAAGCACTGGTAAAATTTATGAACAGGTTGTAAGTTAATGCAAAAAAAATAAAAACCAAAAGCCGAATTTAGAAATAGAATTAAAATTTAATATAATAACAGTGGTATTTGAAAATACAGCATTATATTTTTCAAGACTCTAATAGAGAGCACAGTTGCTCATTATGAAATATGTACAGCCATACCAGCTAGCTGATATATTATATAAATTTTGATAGAACTAATACACCTGTTTTCGAGTTGAATATTGGACAGATGGAAAATAAAATCTTAATTGTAGCCTAATTTTAAGATTTATGAAGCACATTACAAACATTTGTAATTACATTAAAGGTTTGAAGACATTAAATAGACAATGAGGCTAAACCTATCATAAAATCTGTAATGGCATGCCAATAGTTAACACTCCTTTGAGAGTTAAATACTAGAAGGATTGAATATAATGTAATTTGTACTTGTAGTATAATGTGATACATGAAGAGTATTACCAAAATTTGCAAAATACATTAAAACATCTAGGTACTACAAGTTTTTGAAGTAATTAATATACTACATAATACTAATTAATGAATAACTTTAGGAAAATAACAACTGCAATTGGTCTATAATGCTAAAAGCTTATACATACATTCTAGTGTAAAATATTTTTGTTAAATTACATAACAAAAAAAAAAACATTACTTTGGATTTTCATGGCCATGTCTGATATAAAAATTATTGCTATCTACCAACTTGTCCCTCCACTCTGTTATATAGTAATAATCATTTGTCATTGTACCCATGGTTTCTATATTATTATCATCATCTGGTCTTGGTCTAAAAAATAAAATCCAATGTTATATTTATTTTAAGAAATAAACAAGAAATATTTACGTTCTTTCTTCTACCCATTGGTACATTTGGACTCTTCTTTTCAATTTAACTGCTTGGATCGCTATACCATATTCGACCTCTGTCAAAGGCTCTTCAATTTGCAGACTGCCGGTTACATGGACTACTTTGCCATTATGTTCATCTGATGGTTTTTCATATAAATTCAGAATTATTGCGTTATTGTATGTTTCATCCAAGGAGTGAGCATGATGAACTGCCCTACCCTAAAACATGCATAATTAATTTAAGTACCAATGTGGTCAAAAATAGACTATATGATTTTAAAGTACATTTCCTTTTTATAGATAATAATATTACTTAACTGTTTAAGATTCTTGTACATGCAAAAATAATATTAAAATAATTTTCTAACCTCATTCCAAGTGAGTAACCAAATTCCAAAACACAGCAAAAATATTCCTATTAGAGAAGTTACCCAACTTCTTTCAAACTCTTCTGATAAAGTATTCATATTTTATTTTCATGTTCTACATGAATTAAATGTTTAAGATACTTTATATATATTTTGCCGTATTTTCATTGTTATATTTTTAGTTCTTATATCAATTCATTTTATTTCAGTTTAAATTATCGAGGGTAATGCGCATGCCTCTCAAACGTCACAAAAGTTCTAGGGGTATGCATGTGAGTGCGTGCAATACACTAAAATTTTAAAAAGGATGGAATTCTGCATACAAATATTTCTTGTAAGTTGTTATTTATAAACTCTACTGTTTAAACTTTATGATTTTTATAAAATAGCTAATGTTTTAAACGTTGTTTTCTCTTAGTTTTATTGTATTTAATATCTATTATTGATTTGTAGGTAAAGCTTTACATTTTTACCTTTCATCTCACTCTAACCACCCTAATAAATCTTTAGTGTGGTGGAATGATATTATATTTTTTTCTAATGTAAAATAGTCAAGGATTAAATTTTTTTTTTTTTCGATATGTTTTAGACATAGAAGAGGGCAATGCGTGCCTTGGTAGTGTCAATATGGGTTTTTATAAATTTAGTATTTTTTGGAATGTGCGGATACATGTATCTATTATGGTCGCAATATTGGCTGTACATGGAGAGACAAGCAACAGCAACAACATCAACTTATGATCAGCAAATTTTTTTCTATAATCGCGGCTACTACCCAAATAATACGTATGTATTTGTTAAACCTTCTTATTTTTATTTTAAGTTCGTGTAAATAGTTACGGGGACCTATTCATTTTAGTAATAAAACTAAAATCTTGTTTAGTATTCAATTGGTAATAATATAAAGGAACGCACTATGATGCCGAATTTTTAAAATAAAGTGATAAAAAATGCCGTAAATAATGTAAAAATAGAAGTAATTGTAGGGCATTGGAAATTTTTAATTGAAAATCTAACAAAAATGTGAAATTGACTTAACCATGAGAAACCTAAGCAAAAAAAAAAACGGGATGTGGTACTCCGGTAGCACAGAATAAAATAACAATCAGAATGCCCACTCTCAGATGCCGCCTTTGAAGTTTGTCAGCACGCAATCTCCATATTTTAAACGAAAACATACTCGAATTGAGAAATTTGTGACAAGCTACGACAGAACCACAGAATAATAAATAATCAGAAGGGCCACTCTCAGATGCCGCCTTTGAAGTTTTTCAGCACGCGCGCCATGTTTTAGGAGGACACAGACATATGATTTTTGTGGTTATGTAATTGTTTATATTTATGTTTAATTATATTATATTTATGTTATTATATTTAACAATGTTAATATAATTGTATAGTATGTCTATGATTGCCGTAAGTCAATTAAACCTGGTTAATTTTTCCATGCACACCACATAAACAACACTAATTTCTTTAAAATCCTCCTAAAACATGGCGGAACGTCTGCGCGGAGGAGATGCGCGTACTTAATTTTCCGTGGAGAGTGGGTATTCTGTTTGTTTATTATTCTGTGACAGAACTGTAATTTAAATTTGTAGGGATTAATAATTTAGTACATTTGAAATAATTTAATATCTTCTTTAATTAAAAGTACGAATAAAATAGTGCAATATTATGTCTGTAGTTGCCGTAAATAAATTAAACCTGGTTACTTTGTCTATGCACACCAGATAAAATGTCACTGAACAGCACTGGTGCCGACTATAACATGGCTGATTCCGTCTGCGCGAACGAGATGCGCGTAACCCCCTCTGTGGCTCAGTGGTAAGAGCGCCTGCCGTTAAATCTAAAGTTCGTGAGTTCGAATCCCACCTGGGTGGAAATTTTCGTTTATTAAAAAAAATTAATAAATGAAAATAATTTCTATCCTTGTGTGATCGGTACACACCGGAGGGACCGCAGACGTTCGGATACAATTAGCGTCTCTTAAGGTCGATTCAGACACATCAGTCACGTCACAGTCACGGTACCGAACCGGTCCTATTTGGTCACAGAACTATCAACTATCTGACAGCTGGGAAACTGTTTGTCAACTGATGAGTGTGAATGCCGGCAACATATTTGTATTAAAGAATATTTTGTATGACGGATTGTCCGATTCCGCGCAATCACTGTGACGAGACGTGACTGATGTGTCTGAATTGACCTTTAGCCATCGAGCAAAAAAATAAAAGAGGGAATGTAAAGGTAGTGGGGGCATAAATATTGTTAGATAGGAAGTGCTATCTTGAGAGGCCACTTTAAACAAGGAAAGATAGTCTTTCCTTGTTTGAGAAGTCAAATTTAGTTTGGTTATGTTATTGTTTGTCCCAACTGTCACATGAAATTTTATTTATATTGAAGTTTTTTACCAATTGTGTCACTTTTTAGACTATTATAGTTAATATTTAATTAAAACTTTCTCGCCTGAAAAATATTTTATAGCTATTTGTTAATAAGTGTTGGAAAATTTAAATTTAGCGCCTTTGGATTTCCGGATATGTCCGCCATCAGAGGCCACTTTTTTGGTCTCCTTTTCATAACGATTAGATTCCCTCTTTTATCTTTTTGCTCGATGCTCTTAGCAAAGACAATGACGTCGACTTTGCTAAGTATCAAGACAATTACTCTACACACACAAACACACACACACACACTACATTAATAAACTTATCTTGATTGAGACTGGCTGAATGACAATTGTCCAAGCCAAAACACACACAAAAAAAAAAGAGATGCGCGTACTTATTTTTTTCAAGCAGAGTGGGCATTCTGATTGTTTATTATTCTGTGCCGGTAGTGACTCGATAGTGTAAATCGGAGTAAGTAATTTGATAGTTGATTCGATTCGATTCGCATTTGGTGATCTATTCGATTCAATTTTAATATTTGATTCAATAATTGACTCAATAATCAATTCTATTTGATAATCGATTTTATTCGATTGTATTTTATTTTATTGTATTCTATTCATCGAGCAAAAAGACAATAGAGGGAATGTAAAGGTAGTGGGGGCAAACATATTGTTAGACAGGAAGTGCGATCTTTAGAGGCCACATTAAACAAGGAAAGAGAGTCTCTTTCCTTGTTTGACATCAAATTTAGTGGGGTTATGTTATTGTTTGTCCCAAATGTCACATGAAATCTTATTTATATTGAAGTTTTTTAACAATTGTGTCGCATTTTAGACTCTTATCATTAATAATTAATTAAAACTTTCTCGTCTAAGACACATTCTGCGAAATATTGCTACTGTTGATAAGTGTCGGAAAATTTAAATTTGGCGCATTCGCATTTCCGGATATGTCCGCCATCAGAGGCCACTTTTTTGGTCTCCTTTTCATAAGGATTAGATTCCCTCTTTTGTCTTATTGCTCGATGATTCTATTGTACTTTATTTTATTTTATTGTATTTCGATTCGATAATCGAATCAATTAAATACGAATTAAATTAAATAAAAATTAAATTAAATACATCAATTCGATTCGATAACTGATTTGGTAATTGATTCGATATTTGATTCGATTCTATATTTGATTTGCTACTATTATCTCTGATTTGCTATATATTATTTGATTCGATAATCAATTCGATTTGATTCAATAATTGATTCAATTCGATAATAGATTTGATTCGATATTCGATTCTATATATAATTCGATTCGACAATGGATTCAATTCGATAATCGATTCGATTCGACAATCGAGTGTCACTCGACACTCGATATTGAGGAGTAGGCAGATTAACCTCAGTGTCGTTTGACGGTTTTTGTATTTCTAGCCCTCTTCTAGATAATGGCTCCAAAAATGGATGCCGAAACATCGAGTAATATAAGGACCGGGAATTTTCATCGTTATAAGGAGAGATCGTTATACAGAGGGAGACCAAAATCGTTACTGTAATAATAATAATACTGTATAAATAGCCAATTATAATTTAAAGAATTGATCAAAACTCTTATTAGTGAATTAACACTGTATATAGATACTGTACACAACATAGATTTATTAAATAATGATATAAACAAAATAGTATAAAACAATAACTGTACAATTAAAAATGTATACTGTACAGTAACAAAATAATATTGTACTGTACAGTATTTTCTGTAGGAAAAAAGATTACATCCCAAACAGCACAGTACGTCTTGAGTACGTACAATTTTGGTACTGGACGTACATGATGTAAAATGTACGTTTTAAGTACGTACATTGGGGTACATACCAGTACGTACAGAAGAGTACGTACTTATTACGTCTTAAGTATGTACATACCAGTACGTACAGAAGAGTACGTACTTATTACGTCTTAAGTATGTACCATGAGAAAGAAGATTTAAAGCATATTTATTATGTTAGGTTATGTTCACCTAACCTAATTTATTTAGTTAGGAATTTTACACCTCGAGTACAGTTGTGATGTGATAATTCATTGCAAGGCAGTTTCATTTAGATTGTTTTTACTTATTTTTGGTGTTTGGTGCTTGTGGTTTCCTGTTATTTTATTCAGTCGAGTGTTTTTTGTGTCAAAAATGTGATAAGAAAGTGGCAGAGCAAGAAATTGGACGATGGTTGAAGAGAGTCGGGGATCGCTTAAAAACTTTCTTTCTTATTTTTAAAAGAATAAAAAAAATTGAATTTATTTAGAAAAAAATAAAAATATATTCACCTATATTTACTTTTATTTACATAAATCATCATAAGTGTGTATAGTATGTACATAATATATATATATATATATATATATATATATATATATATATATATAATATATATATATATATAATATATATATATAATATATATATATATAGTATGTACTAAGTACATACCTTCAATATGTACTAGGTATGTACCTTCAGTACGTACCAGGTACGTACTTTCAGTACGTACTAGGTACGTACCATAATTTGGAAAATGTACGTTTTATGTACGTATTAAGTACGTACTTCGTACAGTAAAGTACGTACATTGTACGTACTTTATGTCCCATAAGTACGTACTTAGTATGTCTTATGTACGTACTTGTGCTTACTGGGATTATATATTTAGCCTACATTAACGAAAAAGTCTGTCTCCTTGGTCTGTTTCCTTTTCACTTTCCACAGAACTGGCCTAACCTTGTCCTGAAGACGAATAGAATCTTCTACAGTACTCGTATCGTCTTTCTAGTGGATAAAAAATCAATGAACTCCTTTTGCCGTATCCAATGCCTGCCGAGAGGTCGGAGCTGATTCTGACCCTGCTTTCACTTCCTGGCCACTGTTTTTTTCTTCTTCTATACGAACTGCTTGTAGGATGTCCTCGTCAAAAAATCCAGATATTTAAGCTACTTTTTGATTCACTTGTTGAAAATCTGTTATCTTTTCCGGTCCGTAGGTGATAGAAAGTTCAAACTGTCTGGCCCAAATAACTAACGGCAGGCCATCTTCAACCTCAGTCAATCCTTGATCTTCCATCCATCATGCGTATTTGAAGAAACGTTTAGTTTGAGATCGCCATTGTTCTCAATCAATTCCATCAAAAGTCTTTCTGTAATGGTTTTTCAAACAATTGATGACCCTTTGATCCATGGGGTGAAAGACACTCGTTGTGTTTGCTAGCAGGAAACAAAGTGTAATGTTTTGAAGGTCGCACAGTACAGGATGAGCAGGGCAATTGTCTACAAGCAGAAGAATTTTCTCCCTTTAAGCTCGACATCCCATTTTCTAACCGCTTTTTCAAAAATTTCCGAAGTCATTCACGTACTCTTGTACAACGTGGGTTTTTCGATTTACCGATCACTAACAATTTTCTCGTTTTTGTTAACATCGTAAACTTCTCCACTGATCTGCCCGTAGTTGATCTTATGCAGCAGCTTCCTTTTGCTCAGCCAATCCTCAGATCTTTGAAATTCTCAATTCCATGTTCAGTTGCAAAAAGCTTTTGTTCTTACCACAGACCCAGAAAGTGGAATATGGTTCATACACTGCTGCTGGAACCACTGAAGCATAGCGCGATCTAAATATTCGTGCTGAGATTTCCGCAATTTCTTCCTGCTACCGCCGTCCAGTTCCGCTTCAAGCTATTTTTTTCTATCCTTCCATATCACAGTCACAGCTGACTGAGAAAGCTCCATACGGGGAACGACATCCGATTGCTTTTCACCTTTGTCTGTTGCCCGAGTTATCGATAACTTTTCTTTACCGAGAGCACTTTACGCTTTTTCGAGAACATGTTCACTATTCACACACTGAGATACAACTGAAACTGGAGGTAAGAAGTCATCAATAGATTACATCTGTGTGTACAACAGTTGGCACTCAACCCTTGGATTACAATGAGTAGGAGTGGTGGCGCAAATCGAAACAACTGTTGAACAATGACAATGCCACTCGTGAATAAGGTAGTCTGTGCTTCAAACACAATAACACATTTGCCATCGACTAGCGAACGCTGAAAAGTCATCGCTATAAAGAGAGAACCATATTGGTATACAGAAAGAATTAATACATTGTCCTTATGACAAACCAAACATTTACTATTTTCATGGTTATAGGGGAATTAGCGTTATATAGGGAATCGTTATAGACATAGACTACTGTATATATATAATTTTATTTGACACTTATTTGTATTATTTTGTTATTTTAGGTCAAATGCATTAGATTTAAAGTCAAGACAAAAGCATTCGCTTTTTAAGGAAAATTCAAGTGTCCTGTTAATAAAAAATAGCAAACCAAGATTTCCAAATCTTCAACCAAAAGATTTTGAGCTCGATGCTAAACGGTATGTTTGCTTAAAAAATGATAGCTCAACAAACTGTGATAAAAAGACGGCGGAATTTAAAGAAAATATAGTCAACGAACTAAGAAGAGTATTCACGGATGAGAGTAATATTCTTAGAATGGGAAAACAAAACCCTTATAATGTTCACTTTAGAGGGTTCCGAGGAAATTTTTTAGAGAAACCCCCTGAGAAAGTATTATGTCAGTTACATGACACTGCTCTACGTACGCTTAAACGAGGTGATGTAAAACATCATCCGCTCAAGGATTTTATTCCCAAAAGAGCGCTTTTTGAAAATAAAAGGTTTAATAGCTGTGCGATTGTCGCTAGCGCTGGATCTCTTAAAGACTCCAATCTTGGCTCACTTATAGGTAAGTTTCAATATTTTAGTAAATTCTTAATGGTTTATAAATCAGAATATTGGATATATACTTATACTTAATAACATATACTTAATAAAGTATAAAGTATAAGTAACAAAGTTAGTTATATTTTTCCAAGAGTGTCATTGACTTCTTCTTCTTTAAGTGCTATCTCCGCGACGAAGGTTGGCAATCATCATGGCTATTTTGATATTCGAGGCAGCTGCTCTGAACAATTGTCTTGAGCTGCAACCATACCACTCTCTCAGGGTCTTTAACCAGGAAACGGGTCTCCTTCCTATGCTTCCCCTACCCTCTAATTTCTTTAAATTATGAGTCTCAAGATGTTGTGTCTTTCGGCTCTCATTACATGTCTAAGATATTACAATTTCCTTTCTTTTATTGTCCATTTCCATTTTCTTTTCTCTGCCTATTCTCCTTAACACTGACATTGTCATTGACTAAAAAGTGAATATTAAAGTAAAAAGAACATTTTCATAATATATAAACTTGGGAATTTTAAGAATCATATCTGACAACCTTGATTCGAAAGCCGGTCTCTTTGATAACATTAGGAAGCGTGTTTATGTTGGTAAATTGACTTTGGAAAGAGTATAACTTGTAAATTCCATTATTTCATGTAGCGCGTCCAACACTACAGTACATTCAACTAACTTACACCTCTAAATGATTAACGGAATGCGCAGAAAATCTTTCGTTGTAATAAAAGGCACGGAAAACTGCACTGGTGTTCTCCATAATGTTTACACTTTGCTAAATTTTAGGCATAAAATAAATACTTATATAAAAAAACACAGAAGTTAAAACACTTCACACATGTGTATTGTGGTATAAAAACAAACAAATATTTAAAATTTTATAAAAGTGTCATCATCATTTAAATTCTGTCAGAACGTTTTCAATCTGAACAGACCATCCTCAGTGCCTTGTGTATTTGTTGCTAACAGTAAAGTTGTCTATAAGACCTCCATGTATGGATTTACAGTATTCCAAATTTTACATTTAATAATGTTTTAACTCCAGGTCGATGACAATGGATATATTTTTAAACTTACAAGATCAGATAAGCACAAAGATCAGATCTTTGTGCTAAGGCAAATACTGGAAAAAACCAATAAATTCAATATCGATACATACCATCTTTTTGTAGACTTCAAATCTGCCTATGATAGTGTCCTAAGAAATAAATTGTATGAAGCAATGAATGAATTCCACATCCCCGATAAACTGATAAGATTGGTTAAGGCTACAATGCGTAATGTGGTTTGCAAAGTCGAAATACAGGGCGAACAATCACAGGCGTTTGAAACGAATGTTGGGCTGCGACAGGGAGACGCGCTGGCGTGTCTCTAAAAAATGCCTCAAAATCTATGGGCCTGCAAGTAAATGAGGAGAAAACTAAGATGATGGCATCAACACCCAACAATAAAGCCAGGAACATCGGTCCCCAATTCACGGTTGATAACTCTACCTTTGAAGTGGTTGACAAATTCACATATTTAGGCTCCCTGATTACCAAAGAGAACGCCATAACGGAAGAAATCAAGCGAAGGATAGTAATGGCAAACAGATGCTATTTTGGACTGAGTAGACATATGAAAAGTAGAAACTTAAGCCAAAAAACAAAAATAACTATACAAAACCCTTATACAGCCAGTGTTGACATATGGATCGGAGACATGGACCATCTCCAAGGCAGACGAAGACCTTTTGCTTATATTTGAACGAAGGATCCTGAGAGGAATATTTGGTGACATCTGTGAAAATGGTGTTTGGAGGAGGAGATACAACTACGAGGTATACCACAGATATAAACAAATATTTGGTGGTAAAGACGTAGTATCTCTTATAAGAATAGGAAGATTAAGATGGGCAAGACATCTAGCAAGATCACAGCAGAACAACCCTCCTAGAAGAATCCTTATGTCACAACCCGTGGGAAGCAGAGAAAGGGGTAGGCCAAAACTCAGATGGAAGGATGGTGTAGATGAGGATGGTAGAAAGATAGGCGCAGCAAACTGGCAACGGTTGGCAATGGATAGGACTGCCTGACGTAATGGACTTGGGAAGGTCGAGGCTCTTTCATAGGGCTGTAGCACCATTGATGATGATGACTTTAGGGACTACATGTCCTATATACTATATATGACTACAATATATCCATTGTCATCGACCTGGAGTCAAAACATTATTAAATGTAAAATTTGGAATACTGTAAATCTATACATGTAGGTCTTATAGACAACTTTACTGTTAGCAACAAATACACAAGGCACTGAGGATGATCTGTTCAGATTGAAAACGTTCTGCCAGAATTTAAATGTTGACGACACTTTTATAAAGTTTTAAATATTTGTTTGTTTTTATACCACAATACACATGTGTGAAGTGTTTTAACTTTTGTGTTTTTTTAAACGATGGTATACAGCCAATTACGGGGTTTTTTTCCCATTAATTTTAAATAAATATATGTGTCATTAACCCGTTGTTCATAGTTTTGCATATTATGTTACATTTTTTTAATAAATAGTATTCTTGCGTAATGTTTAGCGTAAATTTCTCTCACCTATAATTTTTTTCTGAAACAAATTCTACCGTGCTAAGGATAATTTATATTCAAAGTAGATGTACAAAGAACTAACATATCACTTTTAATTTTTGTTAAAAAATACTTCGGAGTAAACTAGAACATTTTGTTAATCTAAATAGTGGTAATTAGATTGACCATATTTCTGTTAGAGTGTACTGCTTTTGAGACCTCTGCGATTATAGGTTATTAAAAAAATAAGATTATAGGCATATTGATCTAAACTCAGTATATTGTAATTCAAACGTGTAGTTTCAAGTTGGATCATCATGCCAAGACGTAATTTGGATATTCATGAATTAATTGCAAATATGCACAAATACTTTACCATGAAAAGAGACAATGGTGGACCTTTAAAGTCATTATTTAATATAAATCAACTCGTTTTTGACGCACTCGGGATAAGTGAAAGTAAGCTAAAAATTGTAATGAAGACTGTCAGAGATTCACAAAAAGACCTTACTGTGACTGAGTATCACGAAGACAAGAAAACTACTCGTAAACATTATAGGAGCATTGACTTACCTGATGGGGAAAAATTAATTTAAAATTCGCAATGTTTTGCATCGAATGCGTGAAAACAATCAACATGTCACTTTAGATTTAGTCACTATAATTAAGAAAACTAGCCCTTAGAAAGCGTTGGGAGATTTACGATTTAAATTAAAAAAAAAGAAAATAATAGGTTACTTTTATGCGAAAAGAATAGTGTGGTTCATAAAATAATTAAATTTTTGAGAGAATATGAGACATAGATATCTGCAAATGGTGGAATTAAAATAATTGGGCAAGTCGACAGCATAAAATCAATAAAACACATACATAGCGAAGGCAAAAGACACATCATTCTTCATGCAGGAGGGAAAAAAGTCTTTATAGAAAACGCAGATTTGATTTTTTCTTCAAAATCAAAATCTGCTGATTAGCATGAAAACATGAAATCAGATATGTTTGTTAAATGGCTTGAAGAAAAACTGTTACCTAGTCTGAGTGAACCAGTGGCGCACCTAGAATTTTGCTCTGGGGGAGTTTGGTTGGGCATTCATTTTTTTTATGCTACCTTCACCATAAGTCCTTAAAATTTGTAAGTAACAGTGTCGGAATAGTGCCCTGTGGGGTTTAACCCCCAAACCCCCCCTGGGTGCGCCACTGGAGTGAACCACCAGATATAGTTTTGGACAACTCATTGATGACTTATTGATGTCAGTATTGAGTTACTTTAAAATAGATTTATTATCTCATAACTTGCAATTTGCTATCGTCACCATTGATAACCGATATTATTGTCGAACTTTTGTTTTTATACAAGCCTTCTGTGTTGCCAGTGTAAAGTCGTCTGAAGTTATTATTTATTGTGTTTTGCATTAGAACTAATTTGTTCCTTATTTTTATATCTATTATTATATTGTTTGGTAAGTAAATGTTGCATATAAAAATCGGTGGGTTATAGTAATGTGTATATTTTTTATTTTACTAAATTTAAAAATAATTAAATCTAAAATACCATATTGCATTATATATCAGATTTTTCTTTATTGTAATCTATTTTGTTTTTATTTCAGTAAAACTACTTGGAAATGTGTGAATCAAAATATGCAAAGCTACTACTATTTACCTACACAAAAAGAGTTCGTAAATTATTAGTATATGTATGAACACAAAAATAATTATTTCGCCTGAACCCCCAGAAAAAGTAAGGGTTTTACGCTACTGAAAATATATTTTTTTTCAATTATAAGCAAAAAAAAACATTAAAAAAAAATTTGATCACTTTTAAACATAATTTTAAAATTAATGGGTTAAAGTGTACGTTAAGCTATAATAATAGGTTTAAGCGTCTGTAACTACGTCACATTCATGGGTCAGCTGTCAAATGTCACGCGCAATATCATACCTTGTATTCATTGTACCATGAGTAACGATGCAGTTAGGGAAATGTGGCAAGAAGCTTTTAAAACTGCAACTCCAGAAATATGGGACAAAACTGTAAATAAATGTGAAAAATTAATAGAAGAGTGGTGGATCCGGGAAAATAAAATTAGTGAAATTAATCCAGTGATTATAGATTTACATAATACACAGTAGTGAATTTAATGACGATGATGATGATGTAGACATTTAAATAATCAATAAGTACACAATTATAATATTATTTACAAAATAATTGTACAGCAGGTTAACTATTATATTTATTCATTCATTATTAGCCAAATAAACAATAATATTTGAAATTCCATTTGAATTTTTGCTCCCCAATTTATACAAATTAACTCTAACTGATAATACAGGCAAAAATGTTCTAAACAAAGTAAGTAATTAAAAAGATTATGGAGAACTCCAGTGCAGTTTACCGTGCCTTTTTCTACAACCACAGGTATTCTGCGAATTCCATTAATCGTTTAGAGATGTAAGTTGGTTGAATGTACTATACTGGATATATTATAGTACCTACTCTTTCACCGGATGTTCACTTTCGTACGGACACATATACTTTCGCTTTGTGTGTATGCGATTTATCTAGCGATTAGTAAATAGTGCATGCAAACTTATTGATTAATATTTTTTAGATGCTCATGATCTTGTATTAAGGTTTAACAATGCTCCCACCAAAGGTTTTGAAGCAGATGTCGGCAATAAAACTACGATTCGTCTGTTAAATTCTCAAGTTGTATCGAAGCCTCAATTTAATTTTTTAAAGGCAAACCTGTACAAAAATGTAACCATAGTAGCATGGGACCCCAGTAACTATTCTTCTACCATAAATGAGTGGTTAGAAAAACCAGAGTTTAATTTATTTACTAATTACATGGCGTTTAGAAAAACTGACCCCAAGTCTAGAACGTTCCTTTTAAATCCGAGCAGTGTTTGGGATGTCTGGGATTTCCTTCAGAATAATTCACCGAGCATGCTACGACGTAATCCACCTTCATCAGGATTTTTGGGTAAGATTTTAAGCTCTTGAATACTGTTTGATAATTAAAAAATCCAAAATAGAATGTGTAAACAATTTTATTTGATTACACTTCCTAATACATAAAAACAAAAGAAATTTATGACGTATATTTTTATGTTAAAAAAATTTATTAATTTAGTAACAAGTGTCAATGCGGTTCCAAGGCTGTACATTGTTTCTTTGGGCAGTATTTGTTTTTATGATTGCTAGATTTCTAACATTGCCAATCACCCTCCAGAGCCGCGGGCTGCTTGAATAAAACAATATGGAGAAATAAAAATATCGGGAGAAAAAAAATGAAAGGCAGAATTTACAAAACAGTCATCAGACCAATAATGACAGAATGACGTGGCAGAAACACGACTTGACACAGAGAAGACAAAAATGATGTTAGAGACAGCAGAGATGAGAACAGGTAGAAAAATTGATGGCAAGACACTATGGGACAGAGCTAGAAGTACAGATATACGACGTAGAAACAAGATGAAGAACATAAAGAACTGGGGGAAAGAGTAGAATGGAACGATCATATAAGCCGAATGACAACAAAAAGAGTTGTAAAGCACAGCAAGAGACGATTCCCCAATAGGAAGACGATTAGTAGGAAGACCACGGAAACGGCTGGAGTCACATTGACAAACAGACAGAGTCATGTCTACATAAAGACGAAGAAGAAGAAACACGTGTTGTTTTCGTTCTTAGAACGGAAGGCCCTTCATATCTACAATAGGTAGAGAATATGTTTGTAAACAAATTTGTTTTATAGAGGGTGTATAATATGGACGATCTTTATACACTACTTGCCTTGTCTTTAGATTTTGACAATATAAAATACACTTCATCTTATTTTCATACCGATGCACGTCATCGGCGTCATAGCCCGTGACGTCACATGATACCAGCACGAAATATTTAGGCGGTAGGTGTGGTCTTTTTTAAAATAGCTTTGCCGAGTACACTGGCATTACAGCCACTAGACATACTTGATTATATACGCGTAAAAATAATATTTAAAAATTTCTATTAATGTTAACTTAAAGAAATACATAATAATATGTTTCATTTAATTTGTATAAATGCATTATAAAACGTTTTTATCAAGAACATTTGTTCGGACCACACTGTAACTGTAATCTAACGAAGGTGACATTTTGGCATAAATTGGTAACACTTATTTGACAGTTGCGGTGTTGACACTTTTTGTACTTTACTATTTTGAATTTTAAAGTGAATACCTCTTGTTTTATATTTTTACCTATTTAATAAAATCTGTTCTTTTTAGAACAAAATTAGTGTGTTTTATTTCAAAAATGTCACGTAAGAATTTAAATAGTCGTTGTGAAGAGATGGTAATACTTTTGCAATAAATGTTTGATCTATTTGATTTAAAATGGAGTCAGGATTTTTTTATACTTTGGCAACTATGTCAACTTCGATCTCTGACGTAGATAATGACGTGCATCGGTATGTAAATTAGATGAAGTATATATAATTTTTTTTTACTAGTGGTATATTTAAACAATTTTAAGATTACTTAGATAATTATATCAGTTTCAAAGCCAATGTATTGCCTTAGTTATTTCTTTTCTTTTGCAACAAAACATTTTGCAGGACTGTAAAGAATTTTTCTTGTTTTCTCAGAACAGTTATACATAAGATTTATTTTAGCTATGTCAATCTTCGACAATCCTATTCGTTGGCCCATGTTTCTTAGTAGCGTTTTATCCTTTGGAACTATTGTGTAATTTCCGTTTGTGGTAAATGCTTTAAGATTGTAATGCAATATGGATTCATAATCACAAGGTTGACCAAAATTAACATCGTTTCAAGTTTTATGAAAATTATTTTCCATGATATCCCGATTAGATATTTCTGAGCACATGTACTGAAAACCAGATCCTAAGAACACAAGAAAAATTCTTTACAGCCCCGCAAAATTTTTTGTTACTTAGATAATGCTGAATAATTTTGATCTAATGCTATACGCCAAATTGACTCAAAAAAGAGATGACGGCATACGGTTACCTTCAACATTAAGACCTTTTATTAAGAAAATATCGTCCTCAAGACTATCTTACCAGAAATTCTTTTATGTCCTGGAATTCAATAGCGGCAATCGATTTTTTTTACATTAAGTCGGTTTTCACGGCCCTCTTGAACATCAAAATTTATTGAAAGTAATTCTGCGATTATTTAGGAGGGCTATTGAGGGTTTAGTGTTATGACTATTAAAACCTATTCCTACTCTTTTTCTTCTTCTTCCTTCTAGTATGTAGATTTTAAAGTTGCTTCTTCAATATTTGCCATCTAAATTGTTTAAATTATTGCACCATCTTTTTCTTGGTCTGCCAATATTTTTTCGTCCATTTAGTGACTTATCTCGTGCTATTAGTACTATCCTATCATCTGCCGTTATACTAATGTGTTTCTACTTCTATATTACATGTTCTTTTTATGTTTTCGCTTCTCTCCCTATCCAACAGACTTTTCCCTGATATTCATTTTCCTGAATTTGTATCAAAATAAACCAAGTACTTATATGGAATTCTACGGCGCCTACACAGACTGTCACGGACTATAGGAAGAGATCTGTCTGCGGTGCGTTGCCGTCCGTGCTAATCGGCTGCGAATCTGTATCAGCTAATGATCTGTAGAATCGCCGATCGTGGGAAGCCGCTATTAGACAATTTTTCGTTGGTTATTGTCAATGTAGTGCTAAAATATAATTTTTAATGTGTATAATATGTGAAAAATGTTATGTAACATGTTTATTAAATATACAAGTATATTTACGTATATATTGTATATGTATATTAACAGGTCTTCGTTTGCTGTTACCATTCTGCAGTTTCGTAGACGTTTTTGAATACGTTCCTTCGGCGAGAGTTACCAGGAGATGCCACTACTATGACCCTGAAGACAATCCTTCCTGCACATTTGGTGTGTGGCATCCTTTGGCAGCAGAGAAGTTATTGGCACTGTATATTAATACGGCAGACGATAAAGCAGTATTTCAAACCGGATATATACGAATTTTAGGCTCGAGAATGGCAAAATGTCCCTGAATATTGTAAATAGTTAGTAACGTTTAAAATTTTTCTCTTATTTAATGAGTAGATTTATATATTAGATAACGAAAATTAAAAAAGTACCGTTTGTCAGATATTTTTAATATGAAAAAAATGAAAAAGAAACTCAAACGAAAAGGAAGTGGAAAACTTCTTGTGTAATTGATATAATATAATATTAAAAGGAAAATATCCAAAAGGATTTCAAAATTTATTCAAAACGTTTTCGGCCTTTTAAGATATATACCTTAAGGTTACGGTTGCAAAATAAGTATTTTATTTTTATAATTGTGTTTGGTATTGTAGATAGTATATCATTATATAATTGCTTTTTTCTGCTCTTCATCTTTCGTTAACCATGTTAATAAGTATTTATATGTTGTTAATGTTCTACAGGTGTAACTTTTTCATGTCGTTTGCAAAAATGGCCGTATTATCAGCATATCCAACAATATTGATGTTATTTTTGTTGAATCCATAATGATTCTTTGCAGTTGCTTTACAAAAACTTCACGTCTTTTAATGTTTACTTCCATCTTGTTTTGTCCACGTAAATTTAGACAGTTCCCTGCAGAAGTTCTTATCTGGCCTACGACATTGATACATTGCAATCTTAAGCTTTGGGATTATTTAGGATTGATGATCTGAGAAACGTTCACAACTTATTAAGAAAAACTTTTTTATCTCTAGACTAAGCATCTTACTATGCATGCGCTTCGAAACAGAGCAACAATAGGTAGCTACAAAAGTAAATCTTCCCTCGTGATCTCCTGGAATGCTACCATTCAAAACTACTAAATAATTTTTCTCCCAAAGTTCTATAATTCTCTTTCATGAGTATTCGATATTTTGTTCTTAGAAATCTTACTTGTTCTAATTATCAAAAGTACTCTTTCCTTGTACACATTTATTAAAACTAGACTCTTTCCCTATTCTTACATTTTCATCTACAATCATAAAACTGGAAACGCCAGCTCTCTGCTTCAAGATGTCGATAAGAAATGTCTCTATAGGTAAAAAAGAAATAAATAAGACTTACTCACGATCATTTTAATTTAACTACCTAGACGACCTGTTTCGCTTTCTACAATTTGCAAAGAATCTTCAGGTCAGTCGATACAAAGTTAATTAAATGACGCCGGTACACGATTTATTATTATCAGTCCCCAATCATTAATAAATCGTGTACCAGCTTCATTTAATTAACTTTGAATCGACTGACCTGAAGATGCTTTGCAAATTGTAGAAAGCGAAACCGGTCGTCTAGGTAGTTAAATTAAAATGATTGTGAGTCAGTCTTATTTATTTCTTTTTTACCTATTTGAAATGGACTCACACAAGCAACAAAAACCTCTCTATATTTTAAAAATCTGTATCCCACTTACCATCTGGCCTTAGATATTGTGGTACTATATCGACATCGTAAGGTGCCAGCTAAGTCTAATTTTTGCCTATTCCTATGACTTCTGGTATCCCTCCTACATTATAATATTTAGACTTCAGGACATTCTCTTCGGCTCCTATACTGGTACTGGTACTGGTATCCTTCCTACATTATAATATCTAGACTTCAGGCCCTAAAATGAAGCACTAAAAAACTGGAGAAGATCCTGTTCAGGAATGGAGATCCAACTTGACGACGATACAACATTATACACTCTACATTTTACGAACGACCAAGTAGTAGTGCCAGCAGACAAGGAAGATTTAGAATTCATGACGAGACGGTTGTTTAAAACATATGAAGAATAGGGCCTCTCTGTAAATAGAAACAAAACGCAATACTTATGTATCGGGAATGAAGTAGAAGATCTAATGGTCAACGAACATGAAACAATCAATAACTGTGAGGAATATATATATTTGGGAACCACAATCAATAAGAGTGGGCGCACCGAAAAAGAGAGAGCAAAGAATCGTGAAAGGAAAAAGGGTGGTAGGATGCCTAAACCCGATGCTATGGTCAAAAGAACTATCAAATCAAAGAAAGCATCTCCTCTTTAACTCCATCTTTAAAAGTATAGTGCTCTATGGATGCGAAACATGGCAACTTACCAAATCCCTTGAGCGACGCCTACTTGCAATGGAAATGGACTTTTGGAGAAGATCAGCTAGAAAATCAAGGCTTGATAGAATACAAAATGACCATATCAGAAATATAATGGGAGTCAAGTCAACCATCATTGACGAAATTCAAAGGAGACAACTGATCTGGTATGGTCATGTGAAAAAATGGACGACAGGCTGCCAAACCAAATTTTAAAATGGACGCCAAGGGAAAGAAGGAAGAGAGGAAGGCCAAAACAATCCTAACTGGGCGGCATTCAGAAGGCAATGTCGGAAAGAAACCTTCACCCTGGCGAATGGAATGACCGACGTAGCTGGAAACTGGAAATTGGAAGTCGGAGAACGCTATAAAAAACCGGGATAATAATCATAAGACTTCAGGACATTCTCTTCGGCTCCTATACTGGTACTTCCCCCGACTCCATGTGTATTGTTTCAATTTTCAAATTGCTTTGTCTCCATCTTTAAGTCTTAACTGATTCTCCAGTCTTTAAATAACCTTTCAGTCTCGTTTTCTATCACACACATTAGCCTAACTGCTCATCGTAAGAGTATCTTACTGATTCTACCCAGAGTTGATCAAATATGAGTTTCACCATGATTTGGCTGTTTTTTTTAATGTTTTTTTAAAGCTTTTCTTAATATTGTCCTTCATATCTTACCACATTTGTGCAGTCTCTGTCTTTTTAAGTTTTTTTATATTCCTCAAAACCCCTATGTCATCACCCTTGGAAATATGAGCAATGAAGGGATTATTTAACCTGAAAGGATCTACTGGATGTGCCCTAGATTAGTTTTTCATACAAGTACTTGTTAAATTTGATTTCGTATATTAAATGAGCTATCCTCCTATGAAGTCGTCCCAAGAAAGCACCTGAAATATACCTACTTTTTTTTTGAGGAGGTGGAAAAATCTTCTAGAGATCATACTAGGAATGACTCTTAACGTGTGTTGTACTCAGAGTGAAAGAGTTCATCATCGCTCATTTTCCCCTGCCGTTGATGTCCCCATAACTCCCTGCCTACGAACTAAAACCATCAGCCCTCTTCTTTACCTAATGAACTCGGTGGACAAGTCCTTGACAGATGAAACTTTTAGTGAATCAACGCTGTTTATTCCCGCTCTGTCTATAATTGATTAAAGAATGTCAAATATAAAAAAAACTAATTTAAAATAAATGTAAAAATGAATATAAAATGTGTAAATAAACTCTTTTTGAGCACGAAAAACGGACACCCTTATTAATTTCTAATTTTTTGCATCGATTGTTGCTCTTAGTCAGGACGGCTTAAATAAAGTTAAAGCAGCTAACAGATACTGAGTTTGACGCAGTAGAGTGCAACGTGTCTTTGTTCGTTTTCTGGAAAGGTCCCCAGAGAAAAACTACTCATCGAGATCCGTTTTATAGTGTCTTCATTACTAAGAAATCGCCATTCAACTGCTATATCAGTTAGAAAAAGTCTTCAATATGTCCGAAAGGTAAATGTTAACGAACAAACCGTTACAAGACGATTTAATGAAGCTAATCTGAAGGCTCAAAGAACTCATATAGAAACCAAACTTTCCAGGGAACATCGTGTAACCAGATTGCATTTCGCTAGGGAGCATCGAGATTGAAATGCAGACGACTGGATAAATGTGATGTTTACCGATGAGTCCAGATTTTATCTGCGTTTTCCAAATGGTCACGGAATAATCTGGACAAGAGGTAGTGAATCATAATATACCGAGTACACTTTTAGCTCTAGAGTAAGTTTTCAAGGAGATTCAGTTATGGCGTGGGCTGGTATATGTTAGGAGATGCGTACAGAATTGTACATTGTTTCTAGTGGATCTCTGACTACTGATAGGTATATAAATGTGATACTGCAAAATTATGTTGTCCTACATACAACATTTATTAAAGAAAACGTCGTCACACTGATACATGACAATGCACGCCCACATGCTGATGTTCTCATTGTCAGAGAATACTTAAATGAATTTTATATTACCCGTATGGCATGTCCAGCGCACAGTCTTGATTTAAATCCCATCGAGTATGTTTGGTACACGCTTTGTAGAAGTATTCGAAGCCGGGTACCTGTTCCTCTTACTTTAGGTTAGCACAAAGTGGGGAATAGGAAGCAATTTCACAAAATGAAGATTTAAAATTATTTAACAATACCTATGCCCAGAAGAAAGAATGTCGTTATACAGGCTAGTGGAGCTTAAATCCAGAAATAGTTTGTATAAGTCTCTTTGTTACAATACAATTCTTTCAATTCAATTTTCTATCCATTGAGCTTTAGTTGCTTGTGCCTCCCATTCGTTTTGATACAATTAGCGCATCTGTGATCTTACTTCGGACTTAGTCTCCGGGAAGTGTCCATTTTCCTTATTATATAGAATTTCTGTGTCTTTGGTTAGGAACCTTAAAATACTGACAATAAAATCCACTGCACTGAAATGTGTATTATACATATGTCTGAATTGTTGTTCCAATTAAGGCAGATGAAATGAAACTATTAAAAGAATTTTCCTATTTACACGTAAAAAGACCAAAAAATTTCTTTAGTTCTATAAAGTATAGTAGATTGCTCTTCTTCCGTAAATAATCTGTACTAATTATATTAGAGACAAATTTAACTTTAACTTACAAAAATATTCTGACAAATTTGTACTTTACTATAAAAACATATTTAAAAATCGACTGTTCCTCTAAATACATGATATTATAGATTTAATTAATAGCATAATAGTTATAATAGCAATAAAACTCTTCAACATGATACGTAATAACGGAGATATTCTTATATATTTTAAGTATCGGTAATATTTGACAATTCCGTGTAAAAGTGTCTTATAATTCAATATATTCTTGTATCCAATGCGCCCTTTCATTTATTTTTTGAACCATAAAACAAAAATCAATAAAGTTTTCGGTAAC